CGAGAGAGAGGAGAGAGAGAGAGGCCACAACGGCTTTGAGATGAACAAGGTCGTGGGACCAAGGGATGCACATGCACCGATCTCCTCGCAAGGCGACTTCCAAGTTAAAAATAATAATAATAATAATAACATATGCAAGGGTGTCACGGCTGACGGGTGGCCAAGGGAAGTGTAAAAAAAAAAAAAAAAAAAAAAAAAAAAAAAAAAAGCGGGGGAGTGGAGAGGAGCGACGACGGTTAAAGGCGAGCAACATAGTTGACCCGCTACGTGTCACGCCTTCTCTCGCGCCTAATCAACCTCGGTTCTTTTTCCTTCCCACAACCTCGGTTGCTCACTGTTGCAGAAGTTGAAAGCGAGTGGCAAGACGCTCACTGGGACCCATACGAGCACGCAATAACGGATAACATGGTGTCCATCATGCGAAGGCGATTGCGCAACAACCTCCACTGGTGGCTGTCCTGGTGCGACAGCAGTTTCATCCTCTCCATCATTGCCAAAGGATATTGGCTACCATGGAAGGGCGCGGAGCCACCCCCCTTCGAAACCCTCAACCACGCGGGGGTTCAAGCACACATGGCTTTCACCCCAAGCGCCGTCAGCGACCTCATCGCGTCAGGAGCCGCGGTACAGGTCTCGTCGAAAGCAGCACTGACATGCATTAGCCCGCTCAACGTCGTCGAACAACGAGACAAATGCCGTCTCATTCTTGACCTGCGGAAGGTCAACGCTCACCTCCAAGTTCCCAAGTTCAAGTACGAGGGCCTGAGTCGGGTCGCGGAGATCATTCGCCCAAACGATTGGATGTTCACAATCGATCTGAAGTCAGGCTATCACCATGTCGAAATCCACTCCTCATGCTGGAGGTTTTTGGGCTTTCAACTCGATGGGAAGTTCTATTGCTTCACATCTTTACCTTTCGGCTTGGCAACAGCCCCGTTCGTCTTCACCCAGCTTATTAAGCAACTAGCCAAGAGATGGCGCGCGCGCGGAGTGCGCGTAGTACCATACGTGGACGATTTACTATTTCTGTGCGATTCCGAGGCGCAAGCCCGTTCGACGTGCATCGAAGTTCTCCAAGACCTGAAGGCGGCAGGATTCGTGATAAATGCCAAAAAGTCAAACCTGCATCCCACACACCACTTGCGCTTCTTGGGGATGGAGCTCGACACGGAACGAGGGATGTTCCTCATCGGAAAAGATCGGCGCGAGCAACTACTACATGAGCTCCACCTCCTCGTCAAAAAAGGTCAAGCGGGTCGACAAGTGCCGATACGTAAGATAGCCCGAATCACTGGACTTCTCAGCTCCATGTCGCTCGTGTCAAGATAGTAAAGATAGTTAGGAGCCATAGCTAGGAGAACCCTAGCTAGGCAAGAGAAGTTTAGGCAAAGAGGGGTTGCACTAGTAAGAATGGGGATACAAATAGCAAACCCTAGAAGGGTTGTACTCGCTATAGAGCACCCCACTACAGGCTAGAGCATAATATTCTGACAGCTCGCGCTAGGTACGACGGGCCGGGCCTTCAGCCATGAGCTACTGCACTTGATCGACTCCGCGTTGTCATGGAACGCGAAGGTTATGTTGTCACCAGGAGCGACGGAGGAGTTGTTGTTTTGGACAGCGCAATTCGATCGTTTCAATGGTGCCCCATTCCACCAGAGTCAACGCTTTGATGCCGTGATCCACGTCGACGCAAGCGCACACAGCTGGGGCGCCACCTTGGCCAAGTTCCCAAGTGCTTCATGCGAAGCAAGCGAACGCATGCCATGCGAGCTCCTCCCCACATCCAGTACGCGACGAGAGCTCGAGGACGTGCTCTGGGCATTGCAGACGTTCGCAACCCGAATTGCAGGTGCTCACGTCCTCGTCCGGGTGGACAACCAGGCAGTTATGTTCATATTGCGCAAAGGGGGATCCCGTCAGGCGGATCTTACGTTGACATGCCAAGCGATCATCCAGTTCTGTCTAGGCAACACAACACGTCTTGCCATTGAATGGATTCCGAGAGCGCTCAACGCCCATGCGGATGACCTATCCAAGCTGCAAGATCATGATGACTACTCCTTACATACGCCTTGGTTTTGCCTCCTAGAGCGTCGTTGGGGGCCGCACACGATTGATCTATTTGCTAACGCTCGGAACAATCACGTCCAACGCTTCTGCTCCAAGATTCCGCACCCCGACGCATTTGCCGTCGATGCATTTTCTATTTCTTGGAAAGGCGAGAGGTGCTTTGCCTTCCCGCCACCACACTTAGTCCCCGCTACACTCCGCCATGCCGAACTCACACAGGCGGAACTCACATTGGTAGTTCCCCAATGGACCGGGGCGTCATGGTGGCCGCTTCTCAAACCATCCGCTCACTCGTGGACCCCGGCAGTAGTCGCGCACCTTTCCCTTGCCCAAGGCAGCCAATGCCTTCGGGCAGGCTCACACACCACTGCATTTTCCGGTCTCGGATTGCCTCATAGCCCAATCATTGCTTTGCGTGTTAACCATGCAATCTAATAAAGATCACAATTTCTCAATGTGTCATTTCAGGACTTTTGGCCAAACTACAGCAACAATTGATGCACGTAATTAGCCATGTTCGCGCACCATCTACAATCGAGACGTACCAACCTTATTGGCAGAGATTTCGCACATTCTGTACCCAAGTTAAGCTCGACTTCCTACCGGCAACCGACCTGACGCTAGCGCTGTATCTCATCCATGCGCTCAACAACAAGGCAACTCTCTCTGCGATCAACCTCACGTGTTCGGCAGTAGCCTTCGCCCACCGCATGACAGGCGAAGCCTCCCCCACGGTGGGACCATTCACCCTGCAAGTGCGAGAGTTCGCCAAGCGACATGGCCCTCGGCCTGCCAGGACCAAAGAACCTATATCTCTCCATCAAGTACACGAAATGGCCCGTCCCTTCCTCGAATCATCGATTCCTGCGGAATTTCAGAAAGGATTGATTCCTCTTCTCATGTTTTCTGCATTCTTGCGCTACTCCGACCTCGTCTCGCTCCAATGGAATGATGTACAGTTTGAGGAGAAGGTAATGTGGCTGCTCATCCCGCATTCCAAGACGGACCAGGAAGGGAGGGGTGTCTGGATCCCCGTGGCGGCAATTTCAGGCCCATACTGCCCGGTGCGGTGCACACGCAAATTCATACACATCGCAGGCCTCACAAAGGTGCCACATGGACCGCTGATAAGGGTTTTCCCAAAGCACTCCCAAGCCACACCGAGCGACAAATCGCCATCCTACGTCACGATCAGGAACTGGTGTCTCGCGGCCGGCAGGCAGGCTGGACTGGATGTCGCGCACATCGGAACCCACTCATTCCGCAAAGGTGCAGCCACGGCGGCGGCAAGCCTCGGAGTTCCTGACCGGCTCTTCAAACGCATGGGCCGATGGCGCAGTGACAGTGCAAAAGAGATGTACGTTACAATAGCGCAAGATCAGCTCATCTCCCTCTCTACGCAATTGCAGGATCCTTCGACGGCTCCCTCGCCCGCTACGCATCAGCTGTCAATCGAACGACACCGCCAGCCCCGACTGCACCTGCCTCAGAAGACCCATATGAAATGATAACGCTGCCTTTGCAAGATGATCTAAGTACACTTTCACAATATGATAATTTTTGAAAGTGTAATGAAATGTAACACTTTCTAAAATTTTGTATTGTGAAAAGGGGTACGTGGCCAGCACAGCAAAGGTAGCGCCGAAGCGCTACTCGCCCTCTTTTGCCTACAAAAGAGGGACGTGGGGACATTCGTCCCCACCCACGTTTTCATTTCTCAGTTTGTAGTTCTAATTTCCCACCCGCCCACCCATTTGTGTATGCTGTTACGTAGACCTATATAGGACGAGAACGATGTACTAGAACCCATATGAAATGATAACGCTGCCTTTGCCCATATGAAATGATAACGCTGCCTTTGCAAGATGATCTAAGTACACTTTCACAATACCGATTTTATACGGTAATCCAATCTCTTATGATTGACAAGTCCCCACCCTTCCTCCATCCGCCCTCCTCCCCTTCCCCCTCCCCATTACCCCTAAACGCCCCTGGGGCTGTATATCGGGGGAATGCGGTACAATGGGAGCTGGTTATCACCTGTGCTGGTTCACGTGGCAAGGACCTTGAGCCTGCTCATCAGTCCGCCAATGCCTCGCTTCCCCTTCTCCTTCTCGCCTCCCTGCGCCTCTGGCAACTCCTCTGTCGGTGCCACCTGTGCCGCCTGTTCTGCCCGGCCATGCTGCCCTGCCGTTCCCCGCCCTGCCTGCTGCCCCGCCTCACGGGGAGCCCTCCTAGTCACCCCTGCACCCCGGCCCCCACCCCGTCCTCCCCGTGCCCCCTGTGCCCGACTCGCGGGCTTTGGCTCATTCTCAACGGGCACGGGCTTGGCCGGCATGGGCTTGGCCGGCACCTCCGCTTCCTCCTCGCTCTCATCCTCCGTCATGCTGCGCATCAGCAGCTTCTTTCTTCCTGGGTTGCCGCTCGCTGCCTTCGGCCTCGCTCCTCCAGCATCTGTGTGCTGCTCGCTCTCCCCACCCGCCTCATGGTCCTCAGCCTTAGTCCCCTCAGCCGTGCTCCCCTGTGCCGCATGAGCGTCCCCCTCATCGTCTGACAGGCACCTCACAAGACTGCCTCCTGCCTTGCCCTCCCCATGCGCCGTGTCCCCATGTACTTCCTCCTCCCCACTCACAATCTTCCCCTGCGCCACGCCTTCTCCATTCTCCATCTCCCCTCTCGCCTGCCTGGTTGCGCCCTCCCCCTCCGCGCATGCCTGCCCTGTTGGCTCCTCCCTCACCTGCACGCCCCGCCCTGCACCCTCACGATCGCCTTCGCTCTCCCCGCCACCATGCCCCTCCGCCACGCGCATGTCCACATCCTCGTCACCATCCTCACGCATGCTCCTCGCCAGCAACCCACTCTTCCTTCCTGGCTCGCCGTTCAACGCCTTGTGCCTCAATCCACCAGCACCACTGCGCTGCCCACCCCTCGCATGCCCCTCAGCCTTGCTCGCCTCCACCGCATCCTCCTCCTCATCGTCTGACAGGCACCTCACCAGGCTGCCTCCTGCCTTGCCCACAACAGGCGCCATGTCCGCACGGACTTCGTCTGCCGCACTCGCCGCCTTCCCCTGCGCCATGCCTTCTCCACTTTCTCTCTCCCCTCTCACCCGCCCTTTTGGGCTCGCCCCCTCCCCCCGCGCCTTCCCTTTCCGCTGCTCCCTCACCTGCGCGCCCCGCCCCGCACGCTCGCGTCCGCCTTCCCTTTCCCCGCCGCCATGTCCCCGCCCCGCGCCTGTATCCGCCTCGTCATCTCCATCCTCGGTCATGCTCCGCACAAGTGAACTACCTTTCCTTCCTGACTTGTTAATGGCCGCCTTATGCTTCGCTCCGCCAGCAGCGCTGTGCTGTTCGCCCTCTGCACCCCTCACGTGCCCCTCACCAGTCTTTCCTGCCTTCCCCCCATCCGCGTCCTCCTCCTCGTCGTCGTCCGACATGCACCTCACCAGGCTGCCTCCTGCCTTCCCCACGACTTCTCCACTTTCCATCTCCCCTCTCGCCCGCCCCTTTGAGCTCGCCCCCTCCCCGCGCGCCTTCCCCGTCGGCTGCACCCGCACCTGCACGCCCCGTCCGCCTTTGCCCTCCCCGCCGCCATGCGCCCGCTCCGCGCCCGTATGCGCATCGTCATCCTCATCCTCCGTCATGCTCCGAACCAATGAGCCGCCTTTCCTGCCTGAGATCCCATTCGCCGCCTTCTGCTTCGCGCCGCCGGCCGCGCTGTGCTGTTCGCTCTCTGCGCCCCTCGCGTGCCCCTTAGCCTTGTTCGCCTCTTCCGCATGCGCGTCCTCCTCCTCGTCGTCCGACAGGCACCTCACCAGGCTGCCTCCCGCCTTCCCCACCGCGCGTGCCTTCTCCTCGTCATCCTCCCGCAGGCTCCGCGCCAGACTGCCCCGCTTCGCACTGCCTGCGCCCGCGCCCTTTGCGTCTTCCCCCCCCACCGTTCTCTCGCCGGAGCGCCCTTGACATTCGCCCCCGCCACCCCCCTCGTCCGCCTCCATGCTTCGCCGCACTCGCCCCTTCCCTGCGCCCCGCGCGGCCTCCGCTGCCGCATTCCCTCGCGCGCCTGCGCGGCCGCCCTCCGCGCCGTCGTCCTCCTCCATGCGCCGCGCCAGCCTTCGCCCGCTCGTCCCTTTCGGGCTCACCCCTTTCGGGCTCACCCCTTTCGGGCTCGCTTTCGCCTTCCCGCCGCGCGGCCGTTCAGCCGGCGTCTCGTCGCCCGCCTCCTCGTCCTCCGTCAGGCTCCGCGCCAGACTGCCCTTCTTGCCGCTCCCCGCCTTCCCCACCAACTCCCCGCCACTGCGCGCCCCCACGCTCTCCGCCGTCTCGTCCGCCCATGCCGGCTCCTCCGCGCGCCCCTGCACGCCCAGCACCGGGCTGCCGCATGGATCCTCCCTCTCGGCTTCGACCGCCGCTCCTCCCTCTGCTCCGCCCTCCTCGCCCGCTCCCCTTCCCTCCTCCGCCTCGTTTCTCCGCTCTTTGCGCGTTCGCTCGCGACCCGGCTCGCTCCGCCTCTCGCCACCCTTCACCTCGCCGCCGCCTATCCAGGACTTTTCCCAGCCCTGGGGCGGCGCCGCCGTGTCATCGACGCTCTTGCTCCTGCCGTCGCTGGCGGCCACCGCCGCTGCGCGCATCATGGCCTCCATGCCCTCCTCGCCCATGCTCGCGCGCCTCCCCGGCTTCACCCGGCCGGCATGCGAACCACCAGCAGCCGCCGCACCAGCAGCGCCAGCGCTAGGGCCGGCTGAGGCGCGGGCATGCGGCGGCGGCGGGGAGGGGGAGGGCAGGTATCCGCTGCCCGCGGCCTCCATGCGCAGGTAGTCTTCCTTTCCCAGGCTCATGTGCTTCGCCGCCCTCCGCGCTCCCCCGTGCGCGCCTTCCGCTGTCCTCACCATGTCTCCACCACTCGGCGGGGAGGCATTCGGGGTGAGCCCCGCGCGCGTTCCGCCAGCCGCCTGCTTCACGCCTGCCCAGGGTACGGCGGGCGCGTGTAACGGCGACAGGCTGGGATTGCCGGGGCTAGTCGAGGTGGCGACGTGCATGCGCTCGTACTCCTGGTGGCCCAGACTCGCGTGCTTCGTCGCCACGCGCCTCCCGCGCCCGCCTACCGCCGATCGCGCGCCACCAACTGCGCTTCCGAGGGGCGACAGGGGGGGCATGAGAGCGCCGCTGCCGCCGTCGGCGGGACGGGTGTTGGGAAGTTCGCCCATGCTGCTCGCGCGGTTAGGCTCGCGACGGCCCGTCGACGAACCTGGCCGCGCCGCCGCGCCCCTCGGCGTTGTACCGCCGCTACTAGCGACGGGGGATGCCGCCACGGGGGCTGAACCGTCGTCGCCCGCCACGCCTTCGAGTCGGATGGATGGTGCTCGGTTCTTTCGCGGTCCGGCGTGCCCTGGGGCGGCGCCATCGAGGTTGCTCCACGCCTTGGGGGAAGCCCCCCCCGTGGCGACGGCAGCGGAGGGCCTTGAAGCTGCTCCCCGGTCTTGGGCCGCGGCGGCGCACGCGGCCCCGCGCCGGAGTGCGGCGACGAGGCTGTTGGGACGATGCGCGGAGGGGGCTGCTCCGGCGGAGTGTGCGTGGATTCAACCCCGCCGTTGTTGAAGGACCGCGCGACGGCTTGAGCGCCACGTGGCGACGGCGCTTGCACTGCTTGCGGACGTGGCCGGCCGCGCATTTGCTGCTGCTGCGGCGGTGGCGCGTTGACGGAGCGAGGAGATTCCGCAGTTGCGCCTCGCGAACCGCATTGCCCCTCCCACGACACGGACGGCGCCATGCCGTGCGACGGGCTGGGAGGTGCGGCGCCACGGCGCGCCGACGCTGATGATCCGTCAGCCTGCGCGCTCTCAGGGGCCGGCCGCCTTCCGCTGTTGGAGGAGCGGCTGGCCGGCGCGCTGGGGGCGGCAGGCTTGTCGGCGGCGGGAGGGGCGTCGTCTTGGTCGTTGCCCCCGTCGGGCGGCGGAGGTTCGTGCGGCTTGGTGTGGTCGCGATGTAGCAAGCCCATCAGACGCGCCACCTGATCCGCCCGATCCGGTTTCTGCTTCTCCTCCTTGTCTGGCTTGGCTTTCGCAGCAGGCGCCATTCGCGGCAATTACGAAGTAACGATAAGAGTGGTGTGGAAAGAGTCACAGAGAAAAGAAGAGCAGTAGAGCAGCTGCCGTGGTTTCCTGAAATAAATAAAATGGAATTCGAGTGCAAGCAAATGAGATGGAATGGACTTGAGAGGTGCGTCTTGGCTGAGGTGGGAAAAGGAAGGTGTTTGGGGTTGATCCAAACTCCCTGCTTGTGGGAGGAGAATGATCCAACGTGGCCTGGGGCAGAAGCGAAGGTGAAAGGACGGTTGTGATTAGGTGAAAGGGTCCTTCCTTCCCTCGTGGCTGACCGAGAGCAGAGGATGACTGCCATGCTACACCTGTTCTCCGGTATTTCCACACCCCCTACCCTCGTTTTTGCCAGACACCCTATACGGCTTGAGGATCGATGAGACGGACACCCTGACACTACGGGTCTATCAGTAAAGAGCCGTCAGGTTCTGGCCATTCGAAACTCTAATTTGTAATCAGGGTGAGCGGGGAAAATTCCCAGTGCCATAATGTTAGAGTGTTAAACTCGCATTGAGGTCGTGTCTTATTACCTTCGAAACTCCCGCGTTCGTTTCTAACTACCTTTGAAATCAGATTTTTACGAGGGTAGGTACCCCAGGGCGTGAAGATAGGGGGTGTGGAATTATCGCAGGATAGGTGTACCCAGAATTTGAAGTTCTTCAAATCAAACAAGCAGAACGTCCTTTGTTCGATGCCTGGAGCAGTCACTACAGAGCAATATATTTCACTTTCGGGAGCCGGTAGCGGTCGGTAGCGCCCGGTAGCGCTACCGACCGAGTCAGCACGCTGCCCGCGGGCAAAAAAAATAAACCCATGGCTTACGGCATGCCATTCGGGAGCCTCAACCCTAAAATTTTAGGGTTGAGGCTCCCTCGGATGGCATGCCCCCGACTGGGGTTTATTTTTTTCTTGCCCGCGCTGACTCGATTGCACTGCCTGCTGACGCAGGCAGTGCAATATATATTCCACAAAATTGGTCTCACGCATCGAGCTCAAAACGGCACAAGAAACAGCATGATGGGTTTGGGTTCCGTTGGGCCCGTGGGGTTCGAAGGTGGGGGAAGGGGGTGAATACAGTACCCCGTCCATTGGTTGGAAGGGTTGACAACATGTGGTCGCTGTCGCTGTGGTCTGGTCACCCCTTGTCAAGAAAAGACACAAAACCCATTGGCGAACTTTGTCATCCCTTCCACGCTGTACGCGGTGGTCCAGTTCCGATATGCTGAGCGTAAACAGAACAAAAGCCAGCAATCCGAAATATAGTCCCTAAATCTGTACAGTGTTTCAGGGCGGGTCAACGAAATGATGAGAGGGTTCATCTGTGATAGCAAAGTTTCGAGTGTGACTACCCGTGATAGAAATTAGTGCCTTTGAGTGACGGCGGGTGATACCCGTGTGATGGTTCGTGATAGATTTGGCGGATTTTGTGACTGTCCGTGATAGATTTGGCGGAACATGTGACTGCTCGTGATAACTCCGAAATTTTTTGTGACGGCCCGTATAAAAACCCCGTGGAGTGACCTAAAAACGGTACAGTACAAGCTGAATGTCCACCCCACGTTTCCGAAGTGCAAGTAATGTACGGTCCAACTGTAGCATTTGTAGAAACATGCAACTACAGAATAGTGTAAGGTGATCCAAAAGAAAGTCATATTAATAGAGTTGCATCACGTTATGCAACTCATGCAACCCTATCCATGTGTAGAGTGTGTGCACTGCACTGGAAGCTTTGAAGAGGAGAGCATCAGTTTTCCAAGAAGGGTTTGCGGAAACACTCACTTCACAATACCTCATTCATTAGCCAATCACATCACTTATGCCAATTCGCAACCAGATGTGTACATGTATAAGCTGGGGAATTTGTAACAAAAGAACAGCTGCCATTGAGAATCACTACACACAGCAAGGATGTTAAGGAGCTGCAAAGAGATGCAGACGGGTAACACATAACATCCTGTGGTGGTAACCATCACTTCCTGTGCCTTGCACTCCAAGGGGCCCCAGTGCATTATTGCAGGTCAGGGCAGACGAGGCCGAAGCACACGGGAGATGTATTCACGGGTCTCCGGGACCATGCGCTGCAGCAATGCATTATAGCTGCGGCAGGGAGAAGGAGAAGAGGAGTCGCGCGCAGCAGAAGGGATGAGAGACAGGCAGTGCGATTGGAGTGATGTGACAAACAGTATGCACGGGCAGCGGGAGACGAGTGCGCGGGCAGAGGACGGTGGGATGGCAGCACCACGGCTCACATCCGTGAGCGGCGGAACCTGGAAGGTTCCGTGAGTTGACTGGAAGGTGCGGGCGAGGAGGCAGGTGCGGGTGTGGGTGAGGCATACCCGGGGAGGTTGCACATCTGCTCGTGGTGGTCCAGCACGAACAGCACACACATCTGCCTCAGCGACTGCGCATGGTACGTCTCCGCCAGCTCGTACACGTTCGCCACATTCTCCACCGTCAGATCCTGCTCTTGCACCCATGCACACCCCCACACATGCACATGCACGCCCATACATCCACATGCACGCACGCACACACATACAAGCACAACATGCACATGCAACCAGGAACCAACGTGCATGGGGATGGAGAGCACATGACAGGGGGGTTGTGTAACAGGGGAGCACCGAACCATGGGGCGAAGCAACAGCCAGGTCGTGTGAGCAATGAGTGCACAGCTTGTGTGAGCAATGAGTGCACAGCTCAGGGCAGGGCGAATGCATGCAGCAAAGGGACAGCCGGCAGTGAAGCACAGGCGCTTCACCCCACCTAAGCATTTGAGCCCAGCAGCCCACCTGGGCATGACATACTCGCAAAGGTGCTCCACCCCACCTGACGCTTCGGCCCATCCCAGCAGCCCACCTGAGCGATGGCGTGCTCGCAGAGGCGCTTGAGCGTCTCCAGCAGGTACTGGTCCGCCGCCCTCAGCAGGCACAGCAGCACTACCCGATGGCGCGAAGCGAGAGCCAGGTCGTGTGAGGAATGAGTGCATAGTGCATGTGAGCAGAGCGCACACACACAGCAAAAGGACAGCCAGCAGCAGTGGACACGTGGCGCGAAGGGACAGCGCACCTTCGCGATGGCGTGCTCGCAGAGGCGCTTGAGTGTCTCCAGCAGGTACTGGTCCGCCGCCCTCAGCAGGTCCTGCGCCATCTCCGGCCGCACCTCCACCGCCCCCGTGTATATGCACCTGGGGGAGGGAAGGGTGAAGGGAGGCGTGGCATGGTGCAAGGGAGAGAGGCAGTAGTTGGCCCGCCACCCTCAGCAGGTCCTGCGCCATCTCCGGCCGCACCTCCACCGCCCCCGTGTATATGCACCTGGGGGGGGGAGAGAGGGGGGAGGGGGGGAGGAAGGATCACCAAGGGACAGAGAGGTGAAGGGAAGTGTGGCACAGTGCAAAGGACAAAGACAGCAGTTGGTAACACATGCGCTATGGAAGACACATGGAGGGTGAAGCTTGTTGCATGAGGGGAGCAGGAGGGGGAGGGGAGGGTACCTCATCATGCTCTCGAACACGGGCAGGCTGATGTTTGGGATCTCTATGTCTTTGGCCTCCTTCTCCTCCTGCTCTCACACCACCAGCAACACACGCAGTGGTGGGGCAGCGAGACCATAGCAAGGCGTCAGAGCGGCACGAGGCGGACGAGAGACAGGGCGGCGGAAGAGGTTCAGCGGAGGGAGCATTGAAGGTGACGAAGAACCAGTGGGAGATTCAAGTGCATGGCATAGCATAACATGGCGTGGCACAGCACGGTATGGCAGGGCAGGGCGTGGTATGGAATAAAAGAGCATCCCTGCATCCGCGCAACCCCGCAGGCAGGGAAGGGCACGCACTCGGTAGCCGCCGTCAAACATGGCTCGGAAGGCATCGGAGGAGGCGAGCAGGGCGATTCGATGCGCGTAGAAGCGCGTGCCTGGGGGGTTGGGCGGGGGGGGGGGGGGGGGGGGGGGGAGGGGGGGAGTAGAGACGCATGGGTTAGATGACTGGAGTACGAGGCAGGTGGGCAGGGCAGGTGGGCAACGGTCAAGGTAGGGGATGGGATATCATGGGTGGTGGCATGAGATGCCATGGCATAGTGCAATGCATGAATATGCAGTGCGCCATGCCCCGTCACTCATGTTCCATACTGGTGTCCCATGCTCCATGCCTCTTATAACCTGCTCCATCCCATCTGCTACTTACCCCATTCAATGCCCCATGCCCCATGCCCCGTGCCCCATGCCCCATGCCCCCATACCCTATGCCCCGTGCCCCATGCAGTGGAACGACCCCCACCTTCAACGAGGAAGGTGACATCAGAGAGGGTTGGGCAGTTGACGTACTGCTCTCCCAGGTACACCTGCGCGCTCACCAGCGGGAGAGGTGTGGGGGAGGAGAGGAGGAGGGGAGAGGGGAAGGGAGGAGAAGAGAGGAGGGGGGTGGAGAAGGGAAGAGAGACTGAGAGTTGGGGAGAGGAGAGGAGAGGAGAGGAGGGGGACGGAGAAAGAAAGACTGGACCACAAAACGATGGGGACGGAATGGAATTCAGGAGGGAGGCCTGAGCAAGAGAGAGCAGTGGAGGAAGCGGGGGAGGTGGGAGAGAGGAAGGGAAATACAGGAAGAGTGCAGGAGGAACGACGAAGAGTGGGGAGGAGCAGGGAGAGGTGGTGGCGCGCTTGCTGAGTGCGCGCAGAGTCACAGCGAGCAAGAGAGGAGCAGGGAGAGGTGGTGGCGCGCTTGCTGAGTGCGCGCAGAGTCACTGCGAGCAAGAGAGGAGCAGGGAGAGGTGGTGGCGCGCTTGCTGAGTGCGCGCAGAGTCACAGCGAGCAAGAGAGGAGCAGGGAGAGGTGGTGGCGCGCTTGCTGAGTGCGCGCAGAGTCACAGCGAGCAAGAGAGGAGCAGGGAGAGGGGAAGCAGTGCAGGAAGCAGAGGAGCAGGAGGAGGGGAAGGGAGGTGCAAGAACAAGCAACAAAGAAGAGTGGGGAGGGAAACGACCTGGGGCGTGAGGGGACAGCAACCTGGGGGGTGAAAGGGGGGGGGGGCAGTTACCTGCGGCGTGGGGGGAGGCGGCGCGGTGTCGATGGGGTTGAGAGTGGTGGCGCGCTTGCTGAGCGTGCGCAGGGCCACAGCGGCATCGCGCTGCAGGCGGGGCGAGGGCGGCGAGGCGAGCATGGAGAGCAGGATGTCGAGCCCGCCCGCCCCCACGAAGATGGCCCGCTGCTGCCCCTCGGGACACAGGTGCGCCAGCGCTGCTGCCACGCGCCGCTGCACGCTCTTGTCTGACTGCCTCAGCAGGTACAGCAGATGCCGCAGGACCTGGGAAGGAAGTGGAGGGGGTGGGGGTGTGGGAGATTGTGGGGAGGTTGGATGGGTTAGCGAGGGTGTGGTGTGAGGAGAGACGCAAAAGAGAGGTGGAGAGTAAAGGCGGGGAATAACAGTGTGCTTCTTGATGCCTCAGCTGAAGCTTACACCGCATTCCCTGCCTTCCCTGGCCACCCTCTCGCCCGACCTCTTTCCTGATCGGCCCCTTTTTGCTCCACCTTACCCTCCATCCATCTCCTCACCTTTGAACCACTTTGCCCCTTTTTGAGCCACTTTGCCCCTTTTTGAGCCACTTTGCCCCTTTTGGAGCCACTTTGCCCCTTTTTGAGCCACTTTGCCCCTTTTTGAGCCACTTTGCCCCTTTTTGAGCCACTTTGCCCCTTTTTGAGCCACTTTGCCCCTTTTGGAGCCACTTTGCCCCTTTTTGAGCGCACCTTGCCCTCCATCTTCTCTTCAAGGCGCTTGAGAGTCTTCTGAACGCAGTCCTTGCTGGCCTGCACGATCAACTCCGCATCCACCAGCCGCTGCACGCCGCCCTCCCTCACCACCTCCGACACGTTGTCCTGCCGGTGACCATGGGGGGACCAAGGTGGACGGTGTTGTAGGGGGAAGGATCGTTTGGATGAAAGAGAGGATGAGAAATCGTATGGGAGGGCACGGAGTGCATGGCAGGAAGCAGGGGACCAACGGATGAACCACATGTTAAAGCTGTGGCCCGGAGGCTTGTTGCAACTCACCTCATTCCCGTTATTGTCCACTTTCCCACCATGAGGGCACCCCATTCCCCCGACCACTGCCTCACCCCGTTTTCAGCGAGCCCATAGAGCGCGAATGCAGCGTTGTGCTGCAGGTTGCCATTCTTCGATTCCAGAAGCTCCAGCAGCGGTCTCAGCCCCCCGTCGTGCACTATGCCTGCCTGGTTGTCCGCGTTCTGCCCACATGAGGGGGAGTGGGGGGGTTGGGGTTGGGGAGTGGGAGGGGAGGGGGAAGGAAATGGGGGTCAGCAGCGGGCGCAGCCCCCCGTCGTGCACTATGCCCGCCTGGTTGTCCGCATTCTGGTGGGCGCGGGTGATGAGAAGACGAGGAAGAAGGGTGTGGCATTGAGGCATGGTAGGTGATGGACTAAAATGGGACTGTCCAGTCCAGTCCATGTGGAGTGGTGCGAGTTGAGAACGAATGAGCGGACTCGTTGGGGTTGGAAGGGGCATATACGACATGGACATGCACACGGTCTGCTCGGCATACGTGCTCTGAAATGCTCAACCGCCCACACACACGTGCGCACCCCAGTGCTCACAAGTGCACTTGAGCGCACCTGAGAGCACCTAAGCGCGCCCTGCATGCCTCACGAGCGCACCTGAGAGCACCTAAGCGCGCCCTGCATGCCTCACGAGCGCACCTGAGAGCACCTAAGCGCGCCCTGCATGCCTCACGAGCGCACCTGAGAGCACCTAAGCGCGCCCTGCATGCCTCACGAGCGCACCTGAGAGCACCTAAGCGCGCCCTGCATGCCTCACGAGCGCACCTGAGAGCACCTAAGCGCGCCCTGCATGCCTCACGAGCGCACCTGAGAGCACCTAAGCGCGCCCTGCATGCCTCACGAGCGCACCTGAGAGCACCTAAGCGCGCCCTGCATGCCTCACGAGCGCACCTGAGAGCACCTAAGCGCGCCCTGCATGCCTCACGAGCGCACCTGAGAGCACCTAAGCGCGCCCTGCATGCCTCACGAGCGCACCTGAGAGCACCTAAGCGCGCCCTGCATGCCTCACGAGCGCACCTGAGAGCACCTAAGCGCGCCCTGCATGCCTCACGAGCGCACCTGCGCCAGCCTGCCGAGGGCAAAGGCGGCCATCTCCCTGAGCTGCGGGTCGGGCGCCTCCAGCATGGTGATGAGCGGCCGCACTGCCCCCCTCTGCACTATGCGCACCTGCGACAGGGGGGGGGAGAGGGGGGGTTGGGAAAGGAGACTTACAAAATTGAGACGAGAAGGGAGAGTGTGCGGGCATTGCGAATGGTGAAGCACGCAGTGCGGTGGTCAGCACTGAGAAGATATTTGAGGTCCTGGTGAGGCACAGGCACACGGTGGTCACCGCGAAACCACAGCCTAGTACTAGTACAGCAGCAGCGCACCTTGCACTCGGGGTCAGTGGTGGCGAACTGCCCCAGCAGCAGCGCTGCCTCCCGCTGACTCTCCGTGCACCGCGAACTGCAGCACGTGGGGCGGAGGTGGGGACAGTGGCGGCGGAGGAGACAGTGGGCAACGGGGAGAGAGACAGTGGGTAACGGGGAGAGAGACAGTGGGTAACGGGGAGAGAGACAGTGGGTAACGGGGAGAGAGACAGTGGGTAACGGGGAGAGAGACAGTGAGAGCAGCGGAGAGAAGACTTCCACTCTGAATGCGGTTCACGAAACGAGGTCACACGGGGAGCAAGATGGGAAGGGAAAGAGAGGCACGGAGACCACATAAACTCTGACAAGCGCAAAAAGGAAGGCTGCGAGCGAACCTGAGCAGCCCAATCACTGGCTGCAGCGCACCTGAGCAGCCCAATCACTGGTTGCAGCGCACCTGAGCAGCCCAATCACTGGCTGCAGCGCACCTGAGCAGCCCAATCACTGACTGCAGCGCACTTGAGCAGCCCAATCACTGACTGCAGCGCACCTGAGCAGCCCAATCACTGGCTGCAGTGCCCCCTCGTCCAGCACGAGCTTCTTGATGTTCATAGAGGAATGCACCAGGTTGCCGATCACCCCCACCTGCCAGGACGATTGGGGGGGTGATGGAGGAATGTACGGGTCAGAGGACATTTGGGGAAGGGGGCAGCCTCGTCCAGCACGCGCTTCTTGATGTGCATGGACGAATGCACCACATTGCCCATCGCCCCCACCTGCCATGGGATGGGGGAATTGAGGGGTGAATGGGCGCGGTGGGTGGGGGGGGTGAGGCGCTTGTCATTGTGGAAACAACCACTTCCCTGACACGAGGCACCTTCAATTCAAGGCGAGCCACACTCGCCCGCACGGAACAAATTTAGTCACCACGTGACAACACCCTTTCACTGCACCCATGCACACACCCATGCACACACCCGTGCACAGCCATGTAAACACCCATGCACACAGCCCCGACATGCACACCCCTAGACACACGCCCCCAGAGTGAGCATGCATGCACGCACCGCCTCGTAGTGGATGCCCATGTCCTCCGATCGCAGCATGAAGATGAGCGTTGGGAGACCCATGCACACACACACCCATGCACACACACGCATGCACACACCCATGCACACACACACACCCATGCACACAGATTGCATGCACACACCCATGCACACATACACGCACACCCATGCATGGACGCACATAGTCCCTGCATGCACGCACCGCCTCGTAGTGGATGCCTGTGTCCTCCGATCGCAGCATGAAGATGAGCGTTGGTAGCGCTCCACACTCCACTATCTGCAGCCCACCATGCACGCGCAAGGGGGATGGGGAGTAGGGAGTGGGGTGGGGGGAGGGGGGAACGGAGGGATGGATGGAGGGAGGAGCGAGTGAGCGAGGGAGGGAGAGAGGAGGGAGGGAGGGAAAGAGGGATGGAGGGATGGACGGAGGGAAAGAGGGATGGAGGGATGGACGGAGGGAAAGAGGGATGGAGGGATGGACGGAGGGAAAGAGGGATGGAGGGAGGGAGGGAAAGATGCATGGAGGGATGGAGGGAGGGAAAGAGGGATGGAGGGATGGACGGAGGGAAAGAGGGATGGAGGGATGGACGGAGGGAAAGGGGATAAAGGGATGGACGGAGGGAAAGAGCCGGAGACAATGAGCCGTGGACTTAAGTGCACCTGCTCATGGATGTGCGCATGCGTGCATGTGAGCGTGTGCGCTTGGACATATGTATATGCATGGGCGCGCATGCTCGTGCATGCGCATGTGTACATGCATCGGCATCGCTGAGTCAGCAGCCCTGGAGTTCGGTCCCCCCCACTGGCACACACCAGGTTCTTATTGGCCTCGTTTTTGAAGGCCAGTGTCCTGAGAGCGCCTGCCCCCGCGCGCTGCACCTTGGGGTCGAGCGACTCCAGCAGCTCCACCAGCGGCGGTATTCCACCCTCCGCCCTGCACCCATAGACACATGCACATGTACGACCAGAGGGGAAGGAGGCACAGAGTGAGGGAGAGTGCAGAAAGAAGGCGAGCGTCCTGAGGGCGCCAGCACCTGCGTGCTGCACATTGGGGTCATGCGACTCCAGCAGCTCCACCAGCGGTGGTATTCCACCCTCCGCCCTGCACCCATAGACACATGCACATGTACGACCAGAGGGGAAGGAGGCACAGAGTGAGGGAGAGTGCAGAAAGAAGGCGAGCGTCCTGAGGGCGCCAGCACCTGCGTGCTGCACATTGGGGTCATGCGACTCCAGCAGCTCCACCAGCGGTGGTATTCCACCCTCCGCCCTGCGAGCATGCATGCACACATATGCACGACCCGGGGGGGAGAGGGGGGACAGAGTGAGGTGGCGTGCAGAGAGGAAGGCGATCGTCCGTTGACATGGCCCACACAGCACCTTGAGAGGAAAACGGAGAGCAGGAAGGAGAACGGGCAGGGGAATGCAAGAGAGGGTGTGAGACGACCGGCGCACCTGACTCGGCTCTTGATGGTTGCATTCTCGTGCACCAGATTCGTGATGGCGTCTGCTGCCCGCCGCACCACGCCATTCACCACACGCGCCAACGCAGGGTTTGCCCCGCCCCCCCCCTCCGCCCACGCTCCGCCCGCCCCCGCGCCTGCCCCACCCACCCCGCCTGCATGCGCGCCTGCTGCTGCTGCGCCGTCTGTGCTGCCTGCGGGGGCGAGACCGAGGGCGGTTGGCGCTGATGCGGGCGCGGCTGCTGCGGATGCCGCGGACGGTTGGCCTGGCCGCCGCTTTAGCAAAGCTACCAGCGCAGGGAGTGCGCCCGCGTCCGCTATTAGCCGCTGGTGGTCGGGCTGCGCGGGGGGAAAAGGTTGGGCGGGAGTAGGGTGTGCGCGTAAGGGGGAACCTCGCGGGTGGATGAGAGAGCTGGCGAGCGTGGCAGACTGGCGGGTGGGAGGGCAAAAAGTATGGAGCGAAGACAAGTCATGACAGAGCGGGACTTTCGCAAGGGATAATAGGGTGGTGGGGTGGCTGGGAGGACGGGGATGGCAACTGGGAGCAGGTCGCGGACTGACCTTGATGGCGAGCAGGCCGAGTGCGAACGCGGCGTCCTTCTCGACCTCGTGCTCGCACGCGATGGGCCCGTCACCCTCCTCCACTGCCGGCGCTGACAGATGCGGCACGAGCGCGTGGATGGCACCCTCCTCCACTATGGCGTCCACGTGCTCCTCTGCGCGCACCACGTGCCACGCACACGCACACGCACAACCGAGAATCGCACGGGTCGGATGGATGGAGATTGCAAGGATACGAGGTGAGTGGATGCGAACGACGAATTCTGGCGACGCCTGCCTAACCTAGTCGACCTGTTTCCGCTCCAGCATCTGTTTAGTCCGGAATTCGCTACGCGACTTAGCACACGGAAGAAATCTCGGCGTCACCATGATTCGCGGCTCACCGTGCTTCGCGAGCTCCGCTATCGCATGAGCCGCTTTCCTCGCCGCCACGCGATCTGCCTCCCGCCACGTCAGCGAGCCCTTGAGCACCGCGATGTGCGCTTGAACTTCCGCCGTAACCAACGCGCCGCTCTCTTCCGAGCCTGAGGGACACGCGGAGTCCGCCAGTTTCCGCTTGAGGTTCTTCCGCTCGCCGGAGTGCGACGAGCCCTGCTTCGGATCCATGCACCGACCCGCCCACAATCGCTCGCTCGCGCAGCCCCCCTCCCCCTCGCGCGAAGCCCTCAGCACAACGAACTATGGAGAAGAATGCTGGCGTTTTCGTGTCTGTCTTTACTTTCCTCTGCGTGCTGAATTGCTTGCAGGATCTCTGTTTAGGTCAGTCTAGGGTTGGGGAGCAGACACTATGAGGCTAGTTTCCAGTATAGTACAGTAGCTGTTCCCCATGCGAACAGTTGTCAGAAACGGCGCTGTGGATGACGGCCTTGGGATTGGGATGCGATGCTCCTTGAAAAAACCGCTGGCGAAGGACCAAGTGCTGCTGGCGCCAGCTGTTGTTGAGGGCGAAATAACTAGGCGACGAGCTGCGAAAGTTTCAGTGAGTGAGGGGAAGGATTCAGCATGGGATTCTGTCGCGAGCCAATAGTGGGTCACGCCCTGACAGTGCGCTGGTTGCCTTTTGCTGCTCGCGATTCTCGAGATGACCCATCCCCCATAATTGTCGACTCGTCACCCAACGCCAACGGTATCGATTCACCATGGAATTTGAGACAACTGTTTGGTATCAATATTTTATTATCCACTCCACTCACTCCCCAATGCAACTAAGCCAACCAGAGACCTTAGTCTAAACTAAACTATGTCAGTAAAGAAGCTATGGTGGGGTTCCCTACATTGGATTGGTTACATGTACACTAGATGATTGGCAACAAGCAATATTCCAAGTAGAAAAGGTTCCAGATGAATTGATAGAAGCGTGCGATGGCATCCTGGAAGAAAGTAATATCGGGCAGGGAGGGAGGCAGAGGGAGGGGTTACACTTGAAGATCATAACGGAACACCCCACAAACAGCACAGAGAACAGTTATGGCGGCTGGAAGAAATCCAAGTGCTTAAAATGAAAGCAGTGCAAGGTAACGATGAGATGAGTGAGTGTGGACCTCACCTTGGTGTAGGCTGCTGCATCCAGCTTCCATGTCTGCAAGCATGGGTACGGTACATGAGGCAGAATGGCACAGCACAGCAGAGCACAATGCAGAAGAACACAGAACCCAACAGCACCGCGTTAAAGACAGTGGAAAACAGCGAGTTAAATGACATCACAAACGAGTGCAAGGGGCAGTGGAGCAAGCAGAAGAGCAGAGCACATGGCACATGATGCATGGTGCATGGTGCATGGTGCATGGCGCATGGCACATGATGCATGGTGTATGGTGCATGGCGCATGGCACATGATGCATGGTGTATGGTGTATGGTGCATGGCGCATGGCACATGATGCATGGTGTATGGTGCATGGCGCATGGCACATGATGCATGGTGCATGGTGGATGGCGCATGGGATGGAGCATGGTGCGTGGAATGGAATATGGCAGACCTGGCACAGTCCGACTCACCTGATAGACGAGAGCAGCGGCAAGGAGCAGGTGGGCGGGAATCATGACAGCCTGGCGAAACGCCTGATGGGGGGAGAGGGCCGGCAGGGTGCAGAGGGAGGGAGGGCGGAGGGCAGAGGAACGAGGGTGCGGGTCAGAATGAGGGAAGATGGGGGCTAGAGGGAGGGAGGGCAGGGAAGCAGAGGGAAGAGCGCAATGGAGTCCCTGGTAGAGTCGCATCAACAGAACAGCTATGGGATGTTGGCGATGCCCAAACGACCAAGCCACACTAAACAATGCCCACTTCTCAATTGCAACACCCAGCCACGCCCAGCCGCGCCCAGCCACACCCAGCAACACCCAGGCATGCGAGTGACCAGCAGTGCTCACTTTCGGCAGCAGCAGGACGGCAGCGACGGCACCGCAGTAGTTGGCGAGCAGCAGCCCCGAGCCGAGGAAGGCGATGTTGCGCACCCCCAGGCGCGTGGCGAAGGTCTCTATCTTGAACCTGCCATGCACGGTGGTGGGGAGGGTGCGGCAGTCACACATGCACATCTATCAAATGCACGTCCCGACCCGACACACAATGCACCCCCAGACGCGTGGAGAGGGTGCAGGTGTGCGATAAGTGTACTGCCATGAGACACGCACACTGATGAGGTGGGGCTTCATGCACATACCGAAGCTAAAGAACTATGGAGAGCTTATGCGAGAGGAACTGTGCCATAAAGAGAATGTCGAGCGTTATCGCGCGCGTCTAGCGTCCAGCATCCAGACTCGAGCATCCGGACGCGGGACGCTGCAATGCTCTGCACATTTCTCAACTTTTGCACTCACTGGCGGTCGCCCTCAATGTCGGGCAGGTCCTTGGTGATGGCGATGACGGTGGCGAATAGCGTCACGAAGCACGTTATGAACACTATTGATGGACTGTGGGGCGGCACACAGGCACGCACAGGCAGACACAGGCAGGCAGGCAGGCAGGAAAGCACACACAGGCAGGCACATGCAAGCAGGGGGGTGGAAGGGGAAGGGTAGGTGAGAGGCTGAGAGCCCGTGAAGAACACTGTGGATGGGCTGTGGGCGGCACATGTGCACAGTACAGTACACAGCATGCCGTGTGGGAGACAGACAGGGTGGTGGGGTGGGAAGGAAGGGAAGGGCAGGGCAGGGTTGAATGAATTCAGTGGCTGTGCTGTGCTGTGCGCCAGTATGCTCAAAGCGGCCCCATTTTCACCTCATTCCCCCTCCACACAGCCCTCATCGGCACCTCCAATCCAACGTGCCCAAGCACACCACCCCTGCCCGCCACCCCTGCCCGCCACCCCTGCCCGCCACCCCTGCCCAGCAGCAACGCGGTGCGGGGAGGCAGTGACGCACGCACCTCCAGGCGAAGGGCAGCCCGAGGGCAGCGCGCGTGGCATAGTACACGCCGAAGTTGAGCAGGAACCCGCGCACCTGGGGACAGCGCATGGGGGGAGGAGGGGGAGAAGAGGTGGGGGAGAAGGGGGGAAGATGAGGAAGAGGTGAGGGAATGATGGGATGGAGGTTAGGGGGGTGGGGTTGTGGGGATGGGTGGAGGGCGGGAAATGGATTGGATGGGCAGGGAAGGGGCAGGAGGGGGGTCACAGCACAGTGGGTGTATGGTGGGGCACAAAAGGAGGGGGAGGGGGATGAGGTGGGTGCTGGAGGCGAGGATAGAGGCGGCTATTATGCTGGGCGCAGGCGGGGATTCCATGGGCCGTGATTCTTCTATGGGGCAGGAGGGGGGTCACAGCACAGTGGGTGTATGGTGAGAACAAACTGAGGGGGAGGGGGATGAGGTTTGGGCTCACAGTGGCGATGATGAGGAAGGCGGGCAGGGGGTATTGCTTGAGGCGCAGCGGCGGCACGGAGTAGACGGTCCCCAGCAGCAGCCCCAGTGCGTAGAGCGCCGTGATGAGCCGACCGAAGTTGAGCGCGACTATGGCCAGGCCGCCAGCTGAGAGCAGCAGACAGAGGAGAGCGGCGAGCGTGGGGGAGAGCTCGCCCGCTGCCACTGGGAGGAACGGCTTGTTCACCCTGGGGGGATGGGGGGAACGGGGAAAGGGGAAAAGGGCAGTGGAAGGATAGGGGGAAAGGAGAGGGTGTGAGGAGTGGAGTGGTGGAGCTCGCCCTATCCCCCTTGCACAGCCCCCTTGCACAGCCCCCTTGCACAGCCCCCTTGCACAGCCCCCTTCACCTGCCTGCAATGGTGTGAGAGTGACCACACTTATTGCTGGGCTTACCTGTCAATGTCAGTTTCGTAGATTTGGGTGATGGCCAGGATGTACCCGTTGACCAGCGTTGACTAGGTTGACCGGTCAATGTCAGCACGCACCTGTCGCTACCCTTACCTATCAATATCGGTATCATAGATCTGGTTGATGCCCACGATGTACCCGTTACCACACAGCAGCGCCAGCAGCCCTCTCAGCGCGCGCGGCATCAGCCCCCAGTCGATCGCCTGCGGGTTCTCCAGCAGCGCGCGCGCCACCACCGCGCTGGGGGGGGAGGGGGAAGGGGGGGGTGTGGGGGATGGGGGGAAAGGCGGAAAGGGGGTGTTGGGGAGGACGCGGCATCAGCCCCCAGTCGATCGCCTGTGGGCTCTCCAGCAGCGCGCGCGCCACCACCGCGCTGCCCAAGGGGAAGGGGGAAGGACAAGAGAAGGGGGAAGGGAGGGGTGTGGTAGGGGAGGAGGGTGGGCGGTGAAAGGGAGAGGGGAAGAGGGGTGTGGTGGGTGAGGGGAGAGGGGGGAAAAGGGTATACGGACGTGGGTGGGCTGGGCATGGCATGGCAACAACCATACGCGCACGCCACAGGGAGGGGTGCGCGAGCACAGGGGGCCACTGGCGGTCATGGCGACCCTGTGCGCCTGGGTCTCGGCCCCTCGCGCGCGCATTCCCTTCCGCCCACCCCCGCCTTCTCATCGCCCACCGCACTGCATTCACCTCTTCCTCATTCCGCACCCTTCTCCAACCCACCCCCTGCCTGCTCTCCCTCTTCCCCGCCTCACCTTCTTCCTCCCCGCCCCGCCCCCACCCCCCCTTCGATTTTTACCTCCCTTTCCCACGAGTGCCCCCAACTCTTCCCCTTCGTTTCCTCCCCCTAACCCCCCCGCGCTCACGTGGTGCCGAGCACGGTGCCGCGGATGGTGCGCGCGCGGAGGAACTTCTGAGACGTCTCAAACGACCCCACAAATCCTTTCCCCCCCACCCCCATTGCGCTCACGTGGTGCCGAGCACGGTGCCGCGGATGGTGTGCGGGCGCAGGAACTTCCAAAACGCGCGCTGAAACGCCACCACCCGCTCCGCCAGCCCCGCCCCCGCCGGACTGCCCCCCGCCGCCCCCTCACCGCCTCCTGGCGCTGCCGCCCCCGCGCCCGCCGCCGCGGCCTGGTGGGGACGCGGAATGGGGAGGAGAGGGGGGATGGGGACGAGAGGCGGAATGGGGAGAGGCGGAATGGGGAGAAACAGGCGGAATGGGCAGGAGAGTTGGAATGAGGAGAGGCGGAATGGGGAGGAGATGGGCCATGAGGAGTGAAGGACAGTGTGCGGAGCGGCGCAATGTTGGCAATTGCGCAAGGAGCGCAACAGGCGGGGCTATAAATGAGATCGGGCGCGAAGGGGGGCGGGATGGGGAAAACTGCAAGGAGTGGCGGAGGGAAAGAGAGGGATACGCACTCTGACGGCTAGGCGATGTTGACTGCGACTTTGAGGCAATTGACTCAGCGACGTTCGTGGCTTTAATTCTTCGCCATTCGCAAACGAGCTTCGCAACGCTGACGAAGGGCATATCGACGCGGCGGCTGGTCGCCAATTTGGCCGAGACACAGACGCGCAAGCGGGGGAGCGCGGCGAGAGGCGGGGAGAGGCGAGTGTGCGCGAGGTGCGGAATGCGGCGGAAAGACTCATGGCGGGGGGTGGGAAGCGGGGGCCGCGCGCAGAGAAAGAGAAGAAGATGGAGTGCTACGCGGAGAGGGGAGCGAAGAGGTACGATCGCATGCCTCGGGAGTGTCGCGGCTCCTTGGCGAAGTGAAGAAGCGACGGATGACTCCCAAACGAAATACGAATAGCGGTGAGAAATAAATTAATAAATGACGACATGCAGGCAGTAGGTGGTGGTGAGGGGGGGAGGTGGAAGGGATTGGGTTGGAAGCGGAAAGAGGCTGCTGCTGACTGGGCTGTGGGAAGCTGGGGAGGGGAGGGAGGGTGCAGCCCAGCCCGCGCCACGTGGCATTCGTTGCTCACGTGGCAGATTCACCGCCAGTAAGAATGAGAAGAAAAGTCCTCTAGGGAGAGACGCGCTAACAAGGTACGTGGAGCTACAGCGATCCTACAAAAACAAGATCGTCATTCAGATAATTGCATGTCCATGTTCCGTTCCGACGACAAACCGTTTCCGCACATCGCGATATCGCGTTGGTAGTGTGCTGCAACATTCGCTCAACGCGTGGTGTAATTAACGTGGGTTTGGGGTGATTCTTCGAAAGGGGCGTGAGGCAAGGTGAGCAGGGGTACAGAAATCTCAACACGTGGTTAATCTCGGTAAAACAGACTCTTGCACGTGGGAGAACCAAAGAACGAATGTGTGCGACACCAAGACGGGGTGTGGCGTCGAAATCGCGAAGAAAACGGTCGTCGCTCATGTCTAGGCGAAGCCCTGGTCGTTACGTGACTTCTGGGGGGAGTGAAGGTGGAGTGTATGGCGGGAGTGACACTATGACCTCCATCCTGCACAGCGATAAGCGCGACAGCACAGCACAGAACAGCCTCATAATAGAAATATTTATTGATGCGGCACTTGGCCGTCGTCAGGTTGGCGTCGTCTGGCTGACGCTAGGACAAGCACTCTGAACGTTTCTCCGACGACTGTCCCCCTTTATCCAGGTTGCTTGCGCGTGTCCCATGCACATGCCGCGCTACCTCCCGTCATCACGCGCCGAACCAGCTATTCTGCCCTTCCGCACGCGATCATACTTCCATCTCCGCCTTTCCCCCGCTCGTTGCCACCCTTAGCCTCTCCGCGCGTGTCGCGCAGAGCCAATGGCGGAGAGGGCGAAATCTTCCCCCGGCTCCGGCTGGAGCGGAGTCTCCCTACAGCTGCCCTCCTTCTCCTCCTTCCCCGCAACTTCCGCCACGCCCGCCGCGCAGCCCTCCGCGCAGACCCCCTCAACCGCGCTGGCGGGAATGGCTTCCGCCTTCCAGTCGTTCGGTTCCGCCTTCCAGTCCTTCGCGGGCACCGTCGCCTCCGCCATTCCGCCCGCGTCCCCCCCGGGGAAGGCGCAGGTCGGCGCGCGGGGCGCGGGGGGGCAAGCGGACGGGGAGCGCGTGCAGGAGTTCCTGCAGGAGCTCTCCGCCAAGTCTCAGCGAGGGGTTGGGGGCGGTGAGGAGGTGTACGACCCGGCGATGCTGACGGACGACAAGAAGCAATGGAAGGAGCTGCAGTCCTTTAACAGTGTAAGGCGGTGATTCCCCTTCACCCTCCCAGTGCTGTGACCAGTGTATGCTTTGTTTCCTTCAACCTTTTCCCAGCTGGCTGTATCAAAGCCTCTAACACGCCCCTTCACTCACTCATTCACGCACTCCCAGGTCGCAATTCCCCCTAATCTCAGTCCCTGCTCCCCCACCCACCCCTCCTTTTCTCCCCCACAGCGTAATCGGCTCTCAGAAGCCGACACGTTCATAGACCACTTGGTGCTGCCGAGGCTGCACCACGAGCCCGAGGGGCTGCTTTGATTGCGCCTCAGTAACTCCTTCCCCCCACCCCTCCCCCGTGTGTGTGTGCAGCGCAACCGCCTGTTAGAGGCCGACACGTTTATCGACCACTTCGTGGTGGTGGGGCTGCACCCCGAGGCGGATCTCAGCGCCGTGGGGAGGCAGCTCAATGACTCCTTCCCCCCATCCCTCCCCCTTCCCCACAGCGCAACCGCCTGCTAGAGGCGGAAACATTTATCGACCACTTCGTGGTGGGGGGGCTGCACCCCAAGGCGGACTTCATGACCATAACCCCCGTATCTCACCTTCCCTCTGTGTGTGCTGCGCAACCGTCTGTTGGAAGCAGACACATTCATAGACCATTTCGTGGTGGTGAGGCTGCTGCACCCCGACCCGAGGCGGATCTCAGCGCCGTGGAGGCGGCTCAGTAGCTCCTTCCCCCCGCTACTTCCCCCGTGTGTGTGTGTGCAGCGCAACCGCCTGCTAGAGGCGGACACATTTATCGACCATTTCGTGGTGGTGGGGCTGCACCCCGAGGCGGATCTGAGCTCCGTGGAGGCGGCCTTCGCCACGCACAAGCATGGGCAGCTCAACGGCACCATCAGTGACTCCGTGCCGCCGCCTGCTGTGAACCTAGATGCACAGGTGTGATGTGCTGCTGCTGGGTGCGCTTCTGGGTTGGGGTGCTGGGGTGGGGTGCTGGGGTGGGGTGCTGAAATGGGCTGCTGGGATAAAGTCTGACGATTGAGGCGCCTCAAGCGCCGTGGAGGCGGCCTTTGCCTGCCACGCCACAAGCGCGGGCAGCTCAACGCACCGTCAGCAACTCCGTGCCGCCACCTGCTGTGAACCTCGATGCGCAGGTGTGCTGTGCCGCTGGGACACGGTGGGGTGCTGGGGTGGGTGTCTGCTGGGTCGGAGACATGAATGAACCATTCTCACTACCCCTCACACTTTCACCGCATGCTACCCTGTCTCATCCCCTGCCCCACCTCCCCCCCTCTCTCTCTCCTCCCCCCAGCTGCTCTACAAGTACCCGCCACGAAAGAAGAGACACACTGGAGTCGACCCAGAAGGCTCCTCTCCTTTCTCATACACCCATCCACCTCTCTATCCCTTACCCTCCCCCCTCCCCCCTCCCCCTCCCCGCCCCAGCTGCTCTACAAGTACCCGCCACGCAAGAAGCTCGCTCTCTCACCTTCTGACCTGCCTGGCTTCTGCTTCCCAAACGGAGTTGAGGTGAGATGCAGTGAGGTGTGATGAGGTGCAGTGAGGTGTGGTGAGGTGAGGTGGGATGAAGTTTCATCATCTGTGGGTGTGTAAGTCTGGCTGCGTTTTTTCGGTTCCTGCCACCGTCCGCTCATGCGCTGCACCGTCCGCTCATGCGCTGCACCGTCCGCTCATACGCCGCCCGCTCATACGCTGCACCGCCCGCTCATACGCTGCACCGCCCGCTCATACGCTGCACCGCCCGCTCATACGCTGCACCGCCCGCTCATACGCTGCACCGCCCGCTCATACGCTGCACCTCACGCTCATGCATTGCACCGCTCGCTCATACGCTGCACCGCACGCACATTCGCTGCACCGCACACTCATACACCCCACCTCCAGCCACCCATCTGTAGGCGCTCACATACTCTTGTGGTCATATCTCACTCTCCTCGCCGGATGCTTCTCCCTGCTGCCTGCTGCCTGCTGCCTGCTGCCTGCTGCCTGCTGCATGCTGCCTATTGCCTGCTGCCTGTTGCCTGCTGCCTGTTGCCTGCTGCCTATTGCCTGCTGCCTATTGCCTGCTGCCTATTGCCTGCTGCCTATTGCCTGCTGCCTATTGCCTGCTGCCTATTGCCTGCTGCCTATTGCCTGCTGCCTATTGCCTGCTGCCTATTGCCTGCTGCCTATTGCCTGCTGCCTATTGCCTGCTGCCTATTGCCTGCTGCCTATTGCCTGCTGCCTATTGCCTGCTGCCTATTGCCTGCTGCCTATTGCCTGCTGCCTATTGCCTGCTGCCTATTGCCTGCTGCCTATTGCCTGCTGCCTATTGCCTGCTGCCTATTGCCTGCTGCCTATTGCCTGCTGCCTATTGCCTGCTGCCTATTGCCTGCTGCCTATTGCCTGCTGCCTATTGCCTGCTGCCTATTGCCTGCTGCCTATTGCCTGCTGCCTATTGCCTGCTGCCTATTGCCTGCTGCCTATTGCCTGCTGCCTATTGCCTGCTGCCTATTGCCTGCTGCCTATTGCCTGCTGCCTATTTCCTGCTGCCTATTTCCTGCTGCCTATTTCCTGCTGCCTATGACCCCGCTGTGAGGTGTGTGAGCAGGCGAGGTGCATGGAGAAAACGCCATCGATGAAGGGCTTCCACCAGTCCATCTACGGCCAGGTGCGCCCTGCATTCCCTTTCCCCTGCTGCACGCGCTCTCCCTTATATAACCACCTGGATGTCCACTTCTGCCAGCGTGCGTATCTCCTCACTTTCTCATTCACTCACTCATCCCCTCACTCATCCCCTCACTCCTTGTCCCTTCCCCCACAGGCATACCAGTGTCCGGACAACAACGCGTTCGTGCTCCCGCTGGTGGTGCCCGCCCTCACTCACTCACTCACTCACTCACTCACTCACTCACTCAATCACTCACTGCCTCACTCATTCACCCGCCCCACCACCACCCCACGCGTATGTGTTCCCGCTGGCACTGCCTGCCCTCACTCACTCACTCACTCACTCACTCACTCACTCACTCACTCACTCACTCACTCACTCACTTACTGTCTCACTCACCACCCCCCGCTCCATTCCATCCTCCCTCCCACCACAGGCATACCAAACAGCGGACGACAATGCATATGTCTTTTTGCTAGCGGTGGACGACAATGCCACGCTGTACGGGGTGTGCATGGTGGTGCACGAGGTCGTGCAGCGCCCGCCCTCCGTGCTCGCCATGAATAACGCCCTGCACGGCCCCAAGCCCACTGGATTGCCGTCTAAATACCTCGTCACGGCGCCGCGCTGCTACTGCTTCCTCACGCGCCTGCCCTTCTTCGACCTGCACTTTGAAGTGCTCAACACGTGAGTGACTGCAGGGCGGATGGGTTTTGAGTGGGCTCAAAAGGCAGGCAGCACATTATAGCGGTGGTGTGGTGCAGCGGCCGCCCTCTGTGCTCGCCATGAACAACGCCCTCGACGACCCCAATTCGGCTGGTTTGCCGTCTAAATACCTTGTGACTGCCCCGCGCTGCTACTGCTTCCTCGCCCGCCTGCCGTTCTTTGATTTGCACTTTGAAGTGCTCAACACGTGAAGGTAAGTGGATGGGAAGGTAAGTGGATGGGAAGGTAAGTGGATGGGAAGGTAAGTGGATGGGAAGGTAAGTGGATGGGAAAACTGGGTGGACGGAAATGCCAGGATAAACGCACGTGGAAAGTAGAAGCAGGGCGGTTGGGTAAGCAGGATGTAGAAAGGATATTTTTTAGGCGTCTCAAAAATAACCTTTCTACACGTCACCACAACCTCGCTTCCCCCTTTACCCGTCCCCAGCATCCTGGTCCTGAAGCGGCTGAACCGCATGAAGCAGCACATGCGGCGTTAATGCAGCACATGCCATCCCACCATCCCGTCCCGCCTTCTCCCATTCCCGTTTCAGCATCCTTGTACAGGAGCGCCTGGACCACATGAAGCAGCACATGCGCCGCATCAATGCAGGCAGCCTCCAAGCCATGCGGTGCGGGGGCTTTCACCCCGACGACGACGACGACGACGATGATGACGACGATGACATGGGCATGGGCACTGGGGGGTCATTTCGCGGCAGGAAGAAGAAAGAGAAGGACCCAATGTCGTTCGCCGTGCCGGTGTCCACACTCGCTCCTGCCCACTCGTTCTCGCGCTCCCCGTCGTCGCGGCGGCTGCAGGGTGTGATGCGGCTCAAGGGCGAGGGGGGGGAGCAGGCGGGGCGGAGGAGCTTCAAGAGCCTGCGGGGTCTGTCGAACGTGAAGGGGCTTCAGGGATTTATTGCTCAGCTGCAGGCGGAGCAGCGAGGGGAGGGGGGCGGGGAGGGGAAGGGGGGTGGGGAGGGGATGGCAGAAGGGGGGATTGAGGAGGGCGAGGAGGGGGAAGAGGGGGAGGAGGGGGAACAGAGAGGTTTTGCAGAGGGGGAGGGGGAGGGAGGAGGGGGAGGAGGGGGGGAGGGGGAAGGCAAGGAGGAAGAGGGGGATGAGGACGAGGAGGGGGGGAGGGGAAGGGGTGCGGCTGAGAGGAAGGAGGAGGAGGGGGGGGGTGAGCATGAGGAAGAGAAAGAGGGAGAGGGAGGAGAGAGGGAGAAGAGGAGGAGGAAGACAATGAGGAGGAGGAGGAGGAGGAGGAGTTTTCTATGAGGCAGGCATCGCGGCGGGGCCGGCTGATGGTCCCAAAGGAGCTGCTGCAAGCACACGAGGAGGAGAGCAGGCGCGCGGGTGGCGGCATGTGGCATTCGGATAGCGTGGGGTACGGCATTGGGGATGATGAAGTGGACGGGGAACTGAAAGAGCATGTGAGAGAGCTTCTGGGGGAGCTCGTGGGCGGCGCAGGGGAGGAGGAGGAGGAGGAGGAGGAAGAGGAGGAGAGAGACGAGGGGGGGACGGGAACGTGCATATGGAAGGGGGGTTTACGTTCATAGCGGGGGTGTTGAAGCGGAGCTATCGCGAGCTGGGGAGGGAGTGGAGGGAGGAGGGCGGGGAGGAGGAACGGCAGGACGCGGGCAGCAAGGGTGGCAAGAGCCCGAAGAGCCCGAAAGCTCCCAAAAGCCCCAAGAGTGGCAAAAGCCCCAAGAGTCCCAAGAGCCCTAGGAGTGGCAAGAGCCCGAAGAGCCCTAGGAATGGCAAGAGCCCGAAGGGGGGGAGTGGGTGTGAGGATGGGGTGGGTGGTGGGGAGGCGGGTGGAGGGGACGAGGGGAAGGTTGGGGCGGCGTCTCGGCGGCGCAAGACAGTGTCATTTGGAGAAGCGGACTGGGGGGGGGAAGAGGGCGAGAATGATGGGGGAACGGGGGAGGGAGGTGGAGAGGAGGGACGGGAGGAGGGGGTGGAGGAGAGTGGGGCGGTGGGGGGAGGGAGGGGTGGGAGGAGGAAGAAGCTGGAGCGAGTGATGACTGTTGAGGCGGGGGAGGCGAGGAGGAGGGCTGAGAGGGAGGAGGATAGTGAGGTGGAGAAGAGGGCTCACAGAGAGAGGCAGCGCCTGGTGCGGCTGATGACGGTGGAGAGCGGTGGAGAGGGATGGGAGGGTGGTGATAGGGAGGAGGGGGAGGAAGAGTGGGGGGAGGAGGAGGAAGACGAGGTGGAGGAGGAGGAAGAGGAGGAGGAGGAAAAGGAGGAGGAAGAGGAGGAGAGGCGGACAGTGGGGCGGCAGGGGAAGAAACTGGTACGTGTGATGACAGAGGAGGCAGGGCGCGCAGGGGGCAAGGCGCGAGGTGGGGGGAAGAAACTGGTGAGGCTGATGACTGAAGAGGCAGGGAGGGCGAAGGGGAGGAGGGGAGGGGAAGCGGAGGAAAACGAAGAGGAGGACGAAGAAGGAGAGGAGGGTGAGGAGCAAGTGAGGAACGAGGCGGGTAGGAGTGGGAGAAAGAAGCTAGTGCGTTTGATGACTGAGGAGGCAGGGCGAGCAAAGGGAAGGAGGGTGGGAGGAGGAATTGAGGGAGGAGGAGAGGAGGAGGAGGAGGTAGGAGAGCAGGTAAGGAGCGAGGGCGGACAGAGTGGGCGGACGAACCTGGTGCGGCTGCTGACAGAGGACGCCGGGCGCGCAGGGGGGAAGGGGCGAGGTGGGGGGAAGAAACTGGTGAGGCTGATGACTGAAGAGGCGGGGCGAGCAGAGGGGAGGGGAGGAGGGGGGTTGGAGGAAGACGACGAGGAAGATGAGGAGGAAGGTGAGGAGGGCGAGGAGGGCGAGGAGGGCGAGGAGCAAGCAAGGAGTGAGAGGGCTGGTAGTGGGAGGAAGAAGCTTGTGCGGCTGATGACAGAAGAGGTGGGGCAAGCAGGGGGGAAGGGGCGAGGTAGTGGGAAGAAGCTGGTCCGTCTGATGACAGAAGAGGTCGGACAAGCAAGTGGAAAAGGAGCAGGTGGGGGAAGAAACTGGTTCGATTGATGACTGAGGAGGTGGGGCAGGCAGCGGGGAAGGGGTCAGGTGGGGGTAAGAAGCTGGTTCGGCTGATGACTGAAGAGAACGGGGCGTTGGGTACTGTGGGAGAGGACGAGGAGTGGGACGATGATGAAATGGTTACGCTGTGGGAAGGAGGAGGAGGAGGAGGAGGAGGAGGACGAGGAGGAGGAGGAAGAGGGGGAGGAGGAGGAGAGTGGGGAGGAGGAGGGCGAAGGCAGGCGCATGGGGGGGGCGGGAGGGTCATCTTTGAAGCTGCGGCGATCCATGACTGTCGACGACGATGATAACCCGTTAGGTCCTTGCCCTTATAATGAGTACGACATGCGCGCTGGCACCGGGGCCAGCAAGGCAGCGAAAGCTGATGGGGATGGGGCAGGCGATGGTGGGGGGCGTGGGGGGATGGAGCGCAAGCCGTCTCTGAAGCTGGTCCGCAGCCTCACTGAGGACTCGGAGTAAGCCGGGCTGCACTGCTGTGTCATGGGGTGGTGCAGGATGCATTATTGTGGATGGCGTGGTGTCGTGTCGTGTCGTGTCGTATCGTGTCGTGTCGTGTTGTGTGGTTGTGAATCGTGGTGTGACAGCATGTCGTGTATGATTGCATGCCCAACCTCTCTCAACTTCCACCCAGCCCTCTCAGCCCTCTCAGCCCTCTCAGCACTCTCAGCCCTCCATTATCCCCACCCACAACACGTTTGGGGCTCCCAGCCTATGGTATGCTTTTGTCAGCAACCATTCACAGTGAGTTGTTGCAATGAACCAAAAAAAAAAAAAAAAAAAAAAAAAAAAAAAAAAAAAAAAAAAAAAAGCAGATTCTGGCTTATCATGGTCCAGTAGGCAGCAGCACTTCACTTCACCCATGCCTCTGCTTAGAAGGTCACCCACGCATTTCACCACTTCCCACCACACTCCACCCATGCCATCGTGCTGCAGATCTGATGAGGAACTGCCGGGGTACGAGGGGGAGGGTGATGAGGAGGAGGGAGGTGGGGGGGAGAGTGAGGAGGAGGATTCAGAGGAGGTGTCGTACGGGGAGGACGAGGAGGAGGACGACGATGATGCTTTCTATGCGGGGCTTGTGGCGGGGGGCGAGAACGAGGGGGAGGGAGGGGAGCGGGGGGGGGAGGGGGAGGGGGAAGAGGGGGACTATGGGGCGGAGGCTGTGCGGCAGTGGGCCGAGGTGAGGCAAGGGGGGGAAGGTGGAAAAGAGCTGCTGCTGCTGTGAGATGTTATGGTTCCCTGCCTGCTGCTCTGTGTCTGCTTCTCCCTGTGTGCTGCTCCGTGCCTGCTGCTCTGTGCCTGCTGCTCCGTGCCTGCTGCTCCGTGCCTGCTGCTCTGTGCCTGCTGCTCCGTGCCTGCTGCTCCGTGCCTGCTGCTCCGTGCCTGCTGCTCTGTGCCTGCTGCTCCGTGCCTGCTGCTCCGTGCCTGCTGCTCCGTGCCTGCTGCTCTGTTCCTGCTGCTCCGTGCCTGCTGCTCCGTGCCTGCTGCTCCGTGCCTGCTGCTCCGTGCCTGCTGCTCCGTGCCTGCTGCTCCGTGCCTGCTGCTCCGTGCCTGCCGCTCCGTGCCTGCCGCTCCGTGCCTGCTGCTCCGTGCCTGCTGCTCCGTGCCTGCTGCTCCGTGCCTGCTGCTCCGTGCCTGCTGCTCCGTGCCTGCTGCTCCGTGCCTGCTGCTCCGTGCCTGCTGCTCCGTGCCTGCTGCTCCGTGCCTGCTGCTCCGTGCCTGCTGCTCCGTGCCTGCTGCTCCGTGCCTGCTGCTCCGTGCCTGCTGCTCCGTGCCTGCTGCTCCGTGCCTGCTGCTCCGTGCCTGCTGCTCCGTGCCTGCTGCTCCGTGCCTGCTGCTCCGTGCCTGCTGCTCCGTGCCTGCTGCTCCGTGCCTGCTGCTCCGTGCCTGCTGCTCCGTGCCTGCTGCTCCGTGCCTGCTGCTCCGTGCCTGCTGCTCCGTGCCTGCTGCTCCGTGCCTGCTGCTCCGTGCCTGCTGCTCCGTGCCTGCTGCTCCGTGCCTGCTGCTCCGTGCCTGCTGCTCCGTGCCTGCTGCTCCGTGCCTGCTGCTCCGTGCCTGCTGCTCCGTGCCTGCTGCTCCGTGCCTGCTGCTCCGTGCCTGCTGCTCCGTGCCTGCTGCTCCGTGCCTGCTGCTCCGTGCCTGCTGCTCCGTGCCTGCTGCTCCGTGCCTGCTGCTCCGTGCCTGCTGCTCCGTGCCTGCTGCTCCGTGCCTGCTGCTCCGTGCCTGCTGCTCCGTGCCTGCTGCTCCGTGCCTGCTGCTCCGTGCCTGCTGCTCCGTGCCTGCTGCTCTATCACTTGCGCTGCATGCAGCATGCCCTGTGCTGTGCGCCCCCAATCTCTCCTCCTCTGCTCCAAACTCTGTATGCATTTATGACAAGATGCCAGGCCCCCTTGCAAGCAAGCTTCTATGTCAACCTACAACGCATGGCCTACAACGCTTCTGTATATCACTTGCCTTGCGCCCCATGGCCTCTGCTCTCCCTCCCCCTACCCTCCTCTCGTTCCCGTCCTTTCCACCCCCATGATCACCACAGCAATGCATTCCAGATAGTGTGCGCATGCCACACAGCCCCAGTGGGGTGGGCCCATGCGAGCCACCTTGTTGCGAGCCACCTTGTTGCGAGCCACCTTGTTGCGAGCCACCTTGTTGCGAGCCACCTTGTTGCGAGTCAACCACGGTGCCTTATCCTGCATGCCCTCTGCTCCCCCTCGTCCTCTCTCCCTTCTTCCTCTCAGGATCATCACAACGACGCCCTTCAAATTGTGTGCGCATACCACACCTCGGCAGTGCCCCCCTGCGGCCAGGCCATGCTGTTCCATCCATTACCCCACCTGCTGCCGCTCGGCTTCTCCCGCAGCGAGCTCGACATCGACGAGCGCTGCTTCCCCCCCCACGCCGACGATTTACTTTTGAGGGAGCTCATGCACGCCGAGGAGGCCGCTGGGGTGGCTTGTTTCGCTGTTGCTGCTGCTTGCCGCGCACTCAGCCTCGACAATGTGAGTGCGCTGCACGCACTCCTACTTGCATGCTGGTATTAGCTTCCCACTTGCCCCACGCTCACGACCTGCTTCTGAGGGTGCTCATGCACGTGGAGGCGGCCGCTGGGGTGGCTTGATTCGCTGTTGCTGCTGCTTGTCGTGCTCTCAGCCTTGATAATGATATTGACGAGCGCTGCTTCCCACCCCACGCCGACGATTTACTTTTGAGGGAGCTCATGCACACGCTGAGGAGGTCGCTGGGGTGGCGTGCTTTGCCGTTGCTGCTGCTAGCCGCGGCCTCAGCCTGGACAATGTGAGAGCACTGTGCATCCTCCTACCTGCCCAGTGCACAGTGCACAGTGCACAATGCACAGTGCCTACATACCATCGCTGCTTCCCCCCCCCACGCTCACGACCTGCTGCTGCTGGGGGAGCTCATGCACGACGAGGAGGCTGCTGGGGTCACGTGCTTTGCTGTCGCTGCTGCCTACCGTGCGATCAGCCTTGATAATGTGAGTCGAAACTTCCACACGCGAGTGCTGCTCGGGCATGGGAGTGCTATCAGCTCCATGCACGCTTCATCTCACACCACCCCTCCTTTCTCCTTCCCACTGCCCCTCTCTATCTCCCTCTCCTCCCTGTCCCTCCCCTTTCTGCTCCTCCCCTTCCCTCCCTGCACATCTTCCCTCCCATTCCCACTATCCCCACCTCGCCCCTGTCCTGCACACATGCCAGATCCTCACAGTGCTGGCAGCGGTGCTGCTGGAGCGACAAATTGTCTTCGTCTGCCCTAACCTGGTGCTGCTGCTGCTGCTGCTGCTGCTCTTCCTCTCCCTTCGGTGCAGCGTTGCTGCTGCTGTGCGTGCATATGTCAGCCGTCATCGCACATCCAGAGCTTCTCCGTTCCACCACCACCTCTCCCGCCTCGTGTCCTCCCCCCCACCCCACCCCCCGCTGCCCACCCACCCACTCCCAATCCTCCCCCTTCCTCACACACCCACTCCCACCCCCCGCCCCCACACGCCCACTCTCACCGCCTGCATCTTTGCAACCGCCCACCTCCCCCCTTCCCCCGTCTCCACTCTCCTCCCTTGCCCCTGTGCTGTGCTGTGCGTGTGTGCAGAGTGTGCTGTCAGCGGTGGTGCTATCACTCATCCCCATGATCCGCCCCTTCTCCTGGCAATCCGTGCTTCTGCCCGTCAGTGCTGCTCCCCCACCCACACCCTCTCTTCATTTGCTCCCCCACCCACACCCTCTCTTCATTTGCTCCCCCACCCACACCCTCTCTTCATTTGCTCCCCCACCCACACCCTCTCTTCATTTGCTACCCCACCCACACCCTCTCTTCATTTGCTTCCCCCACCCACACCCTCTCTTCATTTGCTTCCCCCACCCACACCCTCTCTTCATTTGCTTCCCCCACCCACACCCTCTCTTCATTTGCTTCCCCCACCCACACCCTCTCTTCATTTGCTTCCCCCACCCACACCCTCTCTTCATTTGCTTCCCCCACCCACACCCTCTCTTCATTTGCTTCCCCCACCCACACCCTCTCTTCATTTGCTTCCCCCACCCACACCCTCTCTTCATTTGCTCCCCCACCCACACCCTCTCTTCATTTGCTCCCTCACCCACACCCTCTCTTCATTTGCTCCCCCACCCACACCCTCTCTTCATTTGCTTCCCCCACCCACACCCTCTCTTCATTTGCTCCCCCACCCACACCCTCTCTTCATTTGCTTCCCCCACCCACACCCTCTCTTCATTTGCTTCCCCCACCCACACCCTCTCTTCATTTGCTTCCCCCACCCACACCCTCTCTTCATTTGCTCCCCCACCCACACCCTCTCTTCATTTGCTCCCTCACCCACACCCTCTCTTCATTTGCTCCCCCACCCACACCCTCTCTTCATTTGCTTCCCCCACCCACACCCTCTCTTCATTTGCTTCCCCCACCCACACCCTCTCTTCATTTGCTTCCCCCACCCACACCCTCTCTTCATTTGCTCCCCCACCCACACCCTCTCTTCATTTGCTCCCTCACCCACACCCTCTCTTCATTTGCTCCCCCACCCACACCCTCTCTTCATTTGCTTCCCCCACCCACACCCTCTCTTCATTTGCTCCCCCACCCACACCCTCTCTTCATTTGCTTCCCCCACCCACACCCTCTCTTCATTTGCTTCCCCCACCCACACCCTCTCTTCATTTGCTTCCCCCACCCACACCCTCTCTTCATTTGCTTCCCCCACCCACACCCTCTCTTCATTTGCTTCCCCCACCCACACCCTCTCTTCATTTGCTTCCCCCACCCACACCCTCTCTTCATTTGCTTCCCCCACCCACACCCTCTCTTCATTTGCTTCCCCCACCCACACCCTCTCTTCATTTGCTTCCCTCACCCACACCCTCTCTTCATTTGCTTCCCCCACCCACACCCTCTCTTCATTTGCTTCCCCCACCCACACCCTCTCTTCATTTGCTTCCCTCACCCACACCCTCTCTTCATTTGCTTCCCCCACCCACACCCTCTCTTCATTTGCTTCCCCCACCCACACCCTCTCTTCATTTGCTTCCCCCACCCACACCCTCTCTTCATTTGCTTCCCCCACCCACACCCTCTCTTCATTTGCTTCCCCCACCCACACCCTCTCTTCATTTGCTTCCCCCACCCACACCCTCTCTTCATTTGCTCCCCCACCCACACCCTCTCTTCATTTGCTTCCCCCTCTGCCCTCCTATTTTCGTTTGCTTCCTACCTTCCACTGGTTGCACTTACACCTGCTGTGTGTTGTGCTCTCTGCTCTCTGCTCTCTCCTCTCCGCATTGTTATACATTCTTCTGTGGGAATCTTGCTGTGGAGAGGAAACAAGGGCACGTGCACTCGTCGCTTGCTGCTGCTTCACACGCAATGCCACCATCTCTGCGACCTTCCATCCATCTCTCTCTTCCTCCACCCCTTCTCTCCCACCTCCCTCCGCGCCACAGATTCTGCCCAGCCAGCTCCTCACATTCCTTGATGCGCCCGTGCCTTTCCTCGTGAGTCACTTGCTGTCACATTTCCTTGATGCTGTCACATGCTGTGAGCCACATGCCGTTCCTTATGTGTCTCATCTTTTCTCGTTACTGCAAATACCACACTGTGACTGTGCCAACTGTCGTTTTTCTCCTCTCTTTGTCCATACCCCACTCTCCCCCTCTCTCCTTTCCCCTTTCCCCTCGCCCCTCTCCCCTCTCCCACTCGCTTCCTCCCCCCCCTCCTCCCTCTCCCCCTCCCCCTTCCCCTCCCCCTCCCCTTCCCCCTCGCCTTCGGCGCCATGCAGGTGGGCATGCAGTACAAGACAGGGGAGCTCAAGGACCGAGCCACCAACCTCATTCGAGTGAACATTCCCAAGGACAAGGTGAACATTCCCAAGGACAAGGTGAACATTCCCAAGGACAAGGTGAACATTCCCAAGGACAAGGTGAACATTCCCAAGGACAAGGTGAACATTCCCAAGGACAAGGTGAACATTCCCAAGGACAAGGTGAACATTCCCAAGGACAAGGTGAACATTCCCAAGGACAAGGTGAACATTCCCAAGGACAAGGTGAACATTCCCAAGGACAAGGTGAACATTCCCAAGGACAAGGTGAACATTCCCAAGGACAAGGTGAACATTCCCAAGGACAAGGTGAACATTCCCAAGGACAAGGTGAACATTCCCAAGGACAAGGTGAACATTCCCAAGGACAAGGTGAACATTCCCAAGGACAAGGTGAACATTCCCAAGGACAAGGTGAACATTCCCAAGGACAAGGTGAACATTCCCAAGGACAAGGTGAACATTCCCAAGGACAAGGTGAACATTCCCAAGGACAAGGTGAACATTCCCAAGGACAAGGTGAACATTCCCAAGGACAAGGTGAACATTCCCAAGGACAAGGTGAACATTCCCAAGGACAAGGTGAACATTCCCAAGGACAAGGTGAACATTCCCAAGGACAAGGTGAACATTCCCAAGGACAAGGTGAACATTCCCAAGGACAAGGTGAACATTCCCAAGGACAAGGTGAACATTCCCAAGGACAAGGTGAACATTCCCAAGGACAAGGTGAACATTCCCAAGGACAAGGTGAACATTCCCAAGGACAAGGTGAACATTCCCAAGGACAAGGTGAACATTCCCAAGGACAAGGTGAACATTCCCAAGGACAAGGTGAACATTCCCAAGGACAAGGTGAACATTCCCAAGGACAATGGTACCACCCTCCCCTCTCCTTCCCCTCTCCATTCCCCCTCTCCTTCTCCTCATAGCAACCTGCTGTGCCGCGCCTACCGCACTGTCCTCCCCACCTGCTCCCCTTCTCACCCTGTTGCCCCCCCTCCCCCTCACCAGGTGAAGGTACCCACATACCTGCCACGCCTGCCCTACGAGTTGGACCTGTACAGCCGCCTCGAGCCCTTCCATCCATTCCGCATGGGTGTCACTCCATTAGCTCCATTCGACTTAAAGCCCCTTCCCCCCCTTCTCCTCCGTTTTTCTCCCCACCAGGTGAAGGTGCCCACATACCTGCCGCGCCTGCCCGACGAGGTGGACCTGTACAGCCGCCTTGAGCCCTACCACTCTGCTCTCGCCTCCATACCTCACACTGACAAGCGCCCCATGTACCGCACCACTGAGGACCAGGTGGGGGCAACAGAGGGCCAGGTGGGGGGAACAGAGGGCCAGGTGGGGGCAACAGAGGGCCAGGTGGGGGGAACAGAGGGCCAGGTGGAGGGGAAGAGGATCAGGTGGGGGAAACAGAAAATCAGGTGGGGGCAACCGAGGGCCAGGTGAGTGAAAGAGAGGGCCAGGTGGGGTTCGCAGAGGTGGACTCGATGCTGAAGGGTGTTTTTGAGAATTCTCAAAAACACCCTTCAGGGCCAGGTGGGGTTCGCAGAGGTGGACTTTTTGGAGCACACCCACAGATCAGCTATGCAGCTGCATGACCATTTCCTTCTGTTTTATTCACTCCTGGCACTTTCTCACTCATTTTTCTCCCTCTTTCTGTATGTGTGTGTGTGTGTGCGGGCGCGCGTGTGTGTGTGTGTGCACACTGGTGACGGCTGCAATGGTTGTGAGAGTGTGAGAGGGAGAGCAGGTGGCAGCGGCAGACGGCTTTCTGATGACGCTGAGGAGCTACATTGACACCTTCTGCACCGATGCGTGCATGCCACTCCTGGCTTTTTCTCACCCATTCTCTCCCTCTTTCTCTGTGTGTGTGTTTGCCCACACGAGTGATGGTGGTGACGGGGGTGTGTGTGAGTGTGAGAGCAGGTGGCGGCAGCGGATGGCTTTCTGCTGACGCTGAGGAGCTACATCGACACCTTCTGCACCGACGTGCGCATTCACACCATCACCAGCGTCAATGCGGGCGGGCAGCGGGTGAGTGTTGAGTCACATTCCCGCCAGTGGGCAGCGAAATGCTGAGTCGACTCAAAAGGCACCTTCTGTACCCACGTGCACATCCACACCATCACCAGTGTCAAAGCTGGTGGGCAGCGGTTGAGCTGTGTGCCAGAGTCACATTCCCTTCAGAAGCTCTTAAATCTGGCGCCCATTCCAAGGCATGTCTGCATTTGGAATGCATTGCCTCTTTTCCCCAAGAACCCAACACACTAGATTTATTGCATGGCATGGCATGGCAGGTGTCGCTTCTCCTCAAGGAGAGCTTTGTCAACGGCTTCCCAGAGGATGACCAGGAATTCTTTCAGGCGTGCTCCTCCCCTCTCCTACTACGCACTGGCCCTGCTTGTTTAAAATTTCAGTCCATCTTCATTGTACTGTATTGTGCCAATGTTTTCAGCATCACATTACGCATTACGTTTCTTGTTCAACTTCAATAGAGTTGCATGCTTTTTTTTCTTGTTGGCAGGTGTTCGCTGGCACCCAACTCTTCACCATGCATATCGATACATTGCTGGCCTCCGATGAGGTTATGTGAGCTTGAGGTCAAGCCTGGTTGCGCAGCTGTTTTGGTGTATCTAAAAATAATACTCTAGTGTATATTTGTTACATTTGTTTGTAATGCTGCAAGTAGTACACGTGCGGGTGAAATGCATTTTTTGTCCATGATTTACGACCAGTCAGAGGCTTTTCCGGATCTACCCTGGACACGGATAAGATTCAACGCAAGTAAAACAACGCCACCTGGATGTTCTCTCCACTCCTGACGCTTTGGTAGCACGTGACAAAAGCACTTCCGCCGTTCCGCGAATGGCATGCCTTGGATCATGGCGACGCAATTTTGATGTGGAATTGGCAGATGCCAGCTGGCCCAAACCCGTGAGAAAGCACACGAGCAGTTCCATGCGCTGCGAGATCACGTGACACGGCAGCAATTCCACCCGCATTCCAACTGGGGCGAATTCGTGCAGTCGATCGAAGCGCATTCGCCCTCTTCTTGTTACGGCAGATTGTACCAGAGGGACAAGCAGCCCGTCTCCACCCTTGCCTACTTTCCCGACTTTCTTGAAGCATGCTCTCCTTAGACATTCTTTGACTATTCTGCGAGTCTAGCTCTCCACCCCAGCGCCACACTTCTTCCCAAGCCCTAAACTCGAATCCACCATTGCCGCTGCTTGTTGACGCACCTCGTCTCTTTTTTTCCAATAAATCGGTTAGAACAATGGCGTTTCGACGTGTGCTTAGCCGCGTTGCGTCGTCTGTCCGACAGGTACGAGTCTTGTCGACTTGACTTGACGCGCCCCATGCGGACTCGCCGTGTTCTGAGCGGATCGCTCTTGCTATTAAAAAGTTGAGAAATATTTCTTCCATTTGGCGTTGTACTGGAATAGCAATCTCCGAATCAAAGGCGATGTGCCATCGCTCAATCCCTCCCCTCCCCTCTCGTCAGGCCACTTCCAAGCCCGGCGGAGTTCTCAAGGGAGTGGAGGACGCCGCGCCGCACCGCCTCTCCTCCACGGTGCGCCGCCGGCGCAAAGCCTGTGCCTTCTCTAGCGCCGTACCGCCTTTCCCGCTTTTACGCTCATTTTTTTTTCGCCCTAACGTCTCCCATTTCTTGGCCTTATCCTCGTCGCCTCCTCATTTCTTCGCCATATTGCCATTGTCCTCCCTCTCGCCCCTTGCCGCCTCGACTGCGCGCTGTTCGATGCACGCTGCGCGCTGTGCGGTGCAGTTGCCGCAGCGCGTGCCGGAGTTGGTGGACCTGCGCGAGACGATGGAAGAGGTGGTGCCGGAGCAGCGCGCGCGACTCGCGGAGATTAAAGCCAAGTACGGCGACATGGTCTTGGGTGACGTCACCGTCAACATGGTACACGCACGCGCGCCTCGTTGTGCCTCGTCGCCGCATCATTCACCCGGCCGAGTATGCATCGATCGCGAATCATGAATGTGTGTTATTGCGATGTGCCACGTGGCAGGCGGTGGGCGGAATGCGCGGCATCAAGGGCCTTCTCTGGGAGACGTCACAGCTCGACCCGCTCCAGGTAGTATCACCCGCTCCAGGTACCACCCGTTCCAAGTTCCAGCCTTTTCCAACTGCATTGCCACTTGTCCTCCCCGCCATTCCGCCAGGAGTCGTCTCCTCGCGCCCCCGCACCGTCCATCACCAAAGCTATTCGCCCTCGCCTTTCCCGTCACCCCTCCCCCTTTCTCCCTTCCCCCTTTCTCCCTTCCCCCTTTCTCCCTTCCCCCTTTCTCCCTTCCCCCTTTCTCCCTTCCCCCTTTCTCCCTTCCCCCTTTCTCCCCTCCCCCTTTCTCCCCTCCCCCTTTCTCTTCCTGTATTCCCTTCCCCCTCCCTTCCTCCCCCGCGCGTCACTCCGCCGGTCCGTCGTGCGTTCCTTCGCCGGTGTTCCGTGCGCCAGGGCATCAAGTTCCGCGGGCTGTCCATTCCCGAGTGCCAGGTGCAGCTGCCCTCCGCGCTCGACGGCGGCCAACCGACTTTTGAGACGTCTCAAAAGTTCCCCTTCCCTTCCTCCCCCGCTCTTCGCTCCGCCTGTCCGCCTTCCGCCAGGGCATAAAGTTCCGCGGGCTGTCCATACCTGAGTGCCAGGCGCAGCTGCCCTCCGCGCTCGACGGCGGCCAGCCGCTGCCCGAGGCGCTGCTCTGGCTGCTTCTCACGGGCGAGGTGAGATCCGGGGACAACTGTAGCGCGGTGATTGTAACGCCGTGGCTGTAGCGGGGTGATTGTACGTGTGGTTGTGCTAGAGGCATTACATGCCATGCCACCTGCCATGCCTCTCTTCTCATTCGGCACCCACCTCCCACGCCCTCCCCCTCTACTCATCCTTCCACCCTCCATCCGCCCCTTGCCCCTCCGCTGTCTCTACCCCCTCTTATCCCCCCCACCCACACGACCAGGTACCCACGGAGGAGCAGGCGGTGTCACTCGCTGTGGAGCTGCAGGACAGAGCGCGACTGCCAGGTAGGTGACTACAACGTTGATGGAGCTTGGTACGGGAACTTCTGGTGCTGACATCTCTCCCCCAAAACCAAAGGTGTGCCAGGTGACTTTTGAGTCGACTCAAAAGACATCACTCCCCCCAAACCAAGGGTGTGCCAGGTTGGTAGCTGCCCCCATTGCTCCACCCAATGATGCATCAAAACCAAATCTTAAAAACTCTTTCCTCCCCCCCACTTCTGCCCTCTCCTCTCACACACTCTCCCTCATCAGACGCGGTGTGCCAGGTGATATGGTCGCTCCCCCCATCACTCCACCCAATGGCCCAGCTCTCCATAGCCGTCCTCGCCCTGCAACGCACTTCCAAGTTCGCTGCCGCCTACCACCGCGGCACGCACAAGCGAGACCTCTGGCGCTACGCACTAGAAGACAGCCTCGATCTGATTGCCGCCCTGCCGGAGATCGCCGCCCGGATCTACAACCGCAGCTGCAAGGAGGGCGGCGCGCGGCCGGGCGTGCGGGCGGCGCGGGAGGATCTGGACTATGCGGGGAATCTAGCGCACATGATGGGGTTTGACGATGAGCGCATGGACGAGCTGCTACGGCTGTACCTCACCATTCACGCGTGAGTCGACTTGAAAAATGCGTGAGCTCTTATGGTTGTACCTTTGTATCTATGTGTGAGTGTGAGTGGTTGTTCAGGGAATCTGGCGCACATGATGGGGTTCGATGATGCGCGCATGGACGAGCTCCTGCTCCTCTACCTCACCATCCACGCGTGAGTCATTGGTTGACGCTGCGGCTTCATTGCCATTCATGTAAGAGTCGCTATGCGGGGAATCTAGCGCACCTGATGGGGTTGGATGATGAGAGGACGAGCTCTTGCGCCTCTATCTCACCATCCATGCGTGACTCGCTATGGCAGGGATTTTTCGCGCATGTGATGGCCTTAGGATGCTGCAGGGACCACTCTAGGGCGGCAATGTGCATGCACATGCCACCCATTCGCTGCCTCCCTCCAACATATCTCCCATCCTCTACGTCTCCTGCCCATGCAACCACACATGCATGCATGCAGGGACCACGAGGGCGGCAATGTGAGCGCGCATGCCACCCACCTGGTCGGGTCGGCGTTGTCCGACCCTTTCCTCGCCCTCTCTGCTGGTCTCAACGGGCTCGCTGGCCCGCTACACGGGCTGGCCAATCAGGTGAGAGCTGGCTGCACGGGCCAGCCAATCAGGTGAGAGCTGGTTGCTGGCATGCGCCCCCAACTGCTCGTACCTCCAGTCCACCCCCAATGCAACATTCCTCATTCCTCCCGCGAAACTGTTCAACGCAGCGAGCCTGTTGGAGGCAGCGAAAACATTCGAGGCAGCGAGCCTGTTGAACATGTTCGCTGCGTTGAACAGGCACTGAGAGCGGAGTTGGGCGAGCGACCCAGCAAGGAGCACTTGGTGGAGCACGTGAGGCGAGGGCTGGCAGCAGGGCGAGTGGTGCCGGGGTATGGGCACGTGATGCTGCACCCAGTTTCCCACCCCCACTGCACCCACGTTCCCACCCCCACTGCACCCAGTTTCCCACCCCCACTGCACCATTCCTGATGTGTCTGTGTGCTACTCCCCTGTTCTCCCCCACCCCACCACAGGAGGTGCTGGGATGGTTGCACACGCTGAGGGCAGAGCTTGGGGAGCGACCCAGCAAGGAGCAGCTGGGGGAGCACGTGAGGCGAGGGCTGACAGCAGGAAGGGTGGTGCCGGGGTATGGCCCACCCCCGGTTTCCCACGCCCTGTTGTGCATCAAACCTGATGTGCCCCCTGTTTCTCCCCACCCCCTTCACCCTTTCTCAGGAGGTGCTGGGGTGGTTGCATGCACTGAGAGCGGAGTTGGGCGAGAGACCTAGCAAGGAGCAGCTGGGGGAGCACGTGAGGCGGGGGCTGGCAGCAGGGAGGGTGGTGCCGGGGTATGGGCATGCGGTGCTGCGCGTGACTGATCCGCGCTACTCGTGCCAGCGGGAGTTTGCTCGGCAGTATATGGCGCACGACCCCATGGTGCAGCTGGTGGGTGTTGGGTTAATTGTGTTGACTGCGTTGACTGCATTGAAGGGTGGTACCGGGGTATGGACATGCGGTGCTGCGAGTGACCGACCCGCGCTACTCGTGCCAGCGGGAGTTTGCCCGGCAGTACATGGCGCACGACCCCATGGTGCAGCTGGTAAGAGCTGGGTTGACTGTGTTGACTCGATTGACTGACCCGCGCTACTCGTGCCAGCGGGAGTTTGCCCGGCAGTACATGGCGCACGACCCCATGGTGCAGCTGGTAAGAGCTGGGTTGACTGTGTTGACTCGATTGACTGACCCCGCGCTACTCGTGCCAGCGGGAGTTTGCCCGGCAGTACATGGCGCACGACCCCATGGTGCAGCTGGTAAGAGCTGGGTTGACTGTGTTGACTCGATTGACTGACCCGCGCTACTCGTGCTAGTGGGAGTTTGCCCGGCAGTACATGGCGCACGACCCCATGGTGCAGCTGGTAAGAGCTTGGTTGATTGGGCTGACTGCATTGACCGCTGCAGGTGCATGCTTAGCTGATTCTGTTGACTGCACTGACTGTAATGACTAGATTGGCTACACTGCTCACCTGCCACACCGTTGACTGTGTTGACTGTCGTGCTCACCTTCCCTTGTTGGTTCCCTGCCGCCCATACTGCGTTGACTGCGTTGACTGCAGGTATCAGACCTGTACAAGGTGGTGCCGCCCGTACTGCAAGAGAGTGCTGTGTTGACTAACTTTCTCACCTTCCCTGTTGCTCCCGCCCCGATACTGCGTTGACTGCAGGTATCAGACCTGTATGAGGTCGTGCCGCCCATACTGCAGGAGACGGGCAAGGTGAGGAGGACGGGGGGGGGGGGGGGGTGTGGGGAGAGGGAGCTGGGGGGTGAGGGGGGAGAGGGGCAAAGCAGGCAAGGGGCAAAGTGAGGGGGAAGAGTGTATGTGTGCGTTTGTGCATGCTGCGTGTGATGGGTGCGTGTGTATCCATCCCATGCACCCATCTTCATGCGTGCGTGCATCACATGCGCCCATCCCTATTCGCCCTCTATGCAACTCCCTCACCAGGTGCAGAAACCATGTCCCAACACGGACGCGCACAACGGCATGTGTTCATGTGTGTGCATGCATGCTTGTGTGCTTGTGTGCTTGTGTGCATTTATGTGTGCGTGTACCCACACGCATCCATCCGTATTCCCCCCTCCCTGCACCGTCTGCGGCCCCTCTACCCTGCAGGTGCAGAACCCATGGCCCAACGTGGACGCGCACAGTGGCGTGCTGCTGCAGCACCTGGGGTTAACCCACGCCAAGTGAGTGCAGCTGGGCTTGTGCATGGGTGCAACGAGAGGGGCGAGAGGTGCCGGGCTAGTGAGTGGCGTGCTGCTGCAGCACCTGGGGTTAACCCACGCCAAGTGAGTGCTGCGTGGGCCATGAGGGGCTCAGCAACTGATGCACGAGTGAGAGCAACGAGAGGGGCAAGTAGGAGCAGGAGAGGAGTGAGTGCATCAAGGCTAGCGGCTACGGGCAGCAACACCGAGGGGCAGCAGCAGTGGCTCAGGGGCAAGGGCTGATGGCAAAAGGCAACTAGAATATTGCGAATCCCCATGTCAAATCCCCACATGTCAGATTCCCATGAGCAGAATTTCGAATGCAACTTTGCGTGTCCAGCTCCCCTCGCTCCTTCCATCGAAAGAACCCCTCTCCACAACTTCCCCCCTCCCCTCATTCATCCCCCCCACCAGCTTATATACTGTGCTGTTTGGCGTCTCTCGAGCCATGGGTGTCTGCTTGTCTAGGTCCCCTCAACCCTCTCCTCTTAACAGCCCCTCTCCACACCCCCTCTCTTCCCTTTCCCCCCTTTCCCCCCTTTCCCCCTCCCTCACCCCCCCCCACCAGCTTCTACACCGTGCTGTTCGGCGTCTCTCGAGCCATGGGCGTTCTCTCTCAGGTCAGTGCCATGCCTTATACCGCATCACACCGCACTGCCTCGCAACACACCGCACGGCCACACATCAAGTTGGCACTGTGCTATTTCGACTGCCCCTACGCCCCATGTTCATTCGCAAGAAGAGTGCTTCATCACTCCCCCTCCTGCAAACTCCCCGTTCTTCTCTCTCCCTCTCCCTCTGTTTCCCCCACTGCTGCCGCTGCTGCTGCCACCACCAGTGCCACCACCCACCACTGTCTATCACTCGCACAGCACGATCTGGCCTGCCAGCACGGTCTCTCACCTACCCCTTCGGTCTGCCTTCTCTCCTCTCATTCCAAACTCTTCCCCCCTCTCTCCTTGCCTCTCTCCTCCCCTCATCCCCCCATCAGCTGGTGTGGGACCGGGCCTTGGGATTGCCATTGGAGCGACCCAAGAGCATCACCATGGACTGGATTCAGCAGCATGCAGCTGACACAGGCTTTAAGGCCAACTCTCACACACACACACATGCCCCCAAGGCTGCAGCATGAATCGTAATAGCTACCTACCGTAGTTTTCCTTGCAATCTCTTGCTGGTTCCCACTAGCACGGAAATTCTTCTTGCACAGTTGTGGCAGGAAAATATGTAAGGGTAGATTGTCTGCTGCATCCACACCCCTGGTTTATATGTATGCTTTGTGTATAGGAATGTCAATAAAAAGGTGCTTGCGTATCTTCGCGGCTTTTGCTAGGACAAGTTAGCCACTGGTAAAACTAACATGCAGTCTTGGTTTGTACTACTCTCGGCTAATGTCAATTTTCACTACCCATTAACACATGTTTTACAGATAACTACTCTTGAAAGCATCATTGATTTCACAAAATGTTGCAGGCCCTAGGTAAATCATTCACGAGAATGGTTGAGACTATATGAGGCTTCAATGAACACAGGTTCGTTATTACAAGAAGCCCTCGGTTAGGTACTGTACATACATCAGCCCTAGGTTTGCGTGCTCGTCAGGGTTTCAGTCAATCAATTTCTGCTGTTGGAAGACCAAAATCTGACGAGGACAGACCAGGTGTCGACGCGGACGAAAAGACACACACGGTTTGCCTGAGAGTGGGCTTCGTTGCGTATCTTTTTCGTGGCCGGAACGTGGAGTTGGTGGAAACGGACAGATCTTATCTACCCGATGAATTGGCGCAGTCAGCAGCACGTGTCGGATGCCTAACGGATCCGTTAAATCCTGGACCTATACGACTCCTCGGCTTGGCTGTTTGTTGATCGTACAGCTGTGCATTTAAAGGTGCACGTGCTTTTTACAACGCTGCTGTTTCTGTGGTTCGCTGAGCGCCCATGGCCTTACTGTTCAAGGCTTAATGTCCCATGTGCGGTGGAATGGCGGGAAGGGATGCAAAAACTTTGGATGCTTGTGGTTGGCTCATCAATCCAGCGTGGACGTTGTTTGCTTTACCAACCGCTAAAATTTATCTTGCACATCACTGTGCAAAACATGCGTTACATAACACGGGCATGCGTTTACAGTTGCGGAGATCTCACCAGAGGATGACTTCGTGTTTTGATGAAAGTGTTGATGCCTTGTGGCTATGGTTCGTTACAGGTCGGCAGTAAAAGCTGCACCGAACAGAGTCGGAACACGCATATGTTCGTTCTTATCCGTTCCGCCGTGTTTCTATGTTTGTTGTGAAAAGTAGCACCTGCTAAATCTCTAGAGATGACAGCGGTGATATACATTACACGACATCCTTCTAGCACTTAGCATTTGCCGAAATGTAATCCGAATGCTGCCCTTCAGCAACCCAAAGACCGACGGTGCTTAGCAAAGAGTTCGACATTCCAGATCGGCCACCAAGTACACTCTTTTCCTCGGTAGACTGTTATCTTTTATGGTAGAAACGCTTTGTGTCACCGCAGCGGACCAAAGAAGGTCCTATCACATGCGTTATAGTGACAATTTGACCCAAGGCGTCTAGTCAAGGTTTTTCACGTTCAAGAATGGTACTGTTTGTTTTTAAGCGGTTGGGACAGTTATTTCACGTTAACGGTTTTTTACGGCCCAAGGCTTGTTTCGCGGCCTCGTGCGACTTTGCCCGCAGCCGAGTTATCCCACCAGCCCGCTACGTCCACCACTGTAGCTAGTGCTTCCGCTGGTGAGATGGGCGAGAACGAGGGTGTATTGTGTGTGGTCCTTTCTTTCGACAAACCTCACTCCCTCAGTGCGACTCTGTTCATTCGCGTTCTGTGCATTCGCGTTGGTGGAGTGGATAACGAAACGATACACGACTGTTCATCCACGCCATGTGGGAGGAGGGGTGGGAGAGGCGAAAAAACAGGAAGGTGAGGGTGGAGGTAGGGGACGAGGGGTGGCGCGAAGCGCGTCTAGCAGCAGAAGCGGCTCGATCGAACCCCTCACCTCACACACCCACGGACCAGAACTCTCCAGTTTCCCCACCCAAGCATCCAGCAAGGACGGGGTAGTGGCGAGGGGTCAGCCACCTACAAAGAGGGAGTTCCAGCAAGGCAAACACAAGCACATGCAACCTTTGCTTTCAAGACCTTATCTTTCTGCCTCCATTCCAAAGCAAGCTCCGCTCCAGACAGCTAAACATCTTGAAGCGTCGCTCACACACCAAAAACGCGTGACACTCCACCTCTCGACAGCAAACCAAGCGCCATTTACAGAAGACACGAAGCAGATTCTGGTCGACCCATCGCGTAGAACTCGTAAGTACTAGCGATCAACATGGCCACAGTCACAGCCAGCCCGTGGGGGGACGAGTCTGCAGCCCCGCACTTCAGCAAGTTCGCTCTGCACACCGACAGCGCCACAGGAAATGATGAGTGGCGGAAGCAGCCGCCCGCGCTCGTAAACGCCGCCGATCCGCGCTTCCCCGACAGCGCGGTGGATCTCTCCGACATCTGCGGCGACTCGGACTCCGACAGCGTGGCGAACCTCTCCGACATTTGCGGCTTCAACGACCTCAACTCGCCGCGCTCAGCCGTCTCCTCCCCCAGAAGCGGCCTCGGCAGCGCGCCGACCTCCCACCCTAACTCCGCGAACAACTCGGGGGCGCTCTCGATAATCTCCGATACCCCCTCTAACACGTCTTCGGGTAACAGTCGCCCGTCGACGGGACGCGTGTCGCTCGCGCAGCAGCTGCTGCAGCAGCAGAAGGGCGGCAACGCGCGATTCTCGTCGGTCAATTCCGGGAGCAAGGGCACCACCGTGGCCTCCGTAGCGGGAATCAGCGACTACGGCAGCTACACCGGGTCGCCCGTGACGCCGCTAATGTCGAGCTTCAGCTGCGCGTCGTCTGACGCCTCGTGCCAGTCGCCGGCGAATCGCGCGTGGCGACAATCAAGCGACCCTCGCGCGGTGTCGCAGCAGACGGCGGTGATGAGGGAATCGTCGCTTCGCGAGAAACTCCTGCGAGCGAGCAGCGCGGCAGCCTCCGAAAGTGAGTATTTTGAAAAAAAAAAAAATAATAATTATAATAGCTTTTCTCTACTGTTTACTCCGAAAGTACTTCCACCTTGTTTAGATCGCACGTGCCGTGTTTGCGCGACCTGATGTTTGGACGTACGAAGTCACTGACCTGTGCTCTCTCGTTTCTCGTTCCTTCCTTCTCTCCCTCCAGCCTCTTCGCAGAGCTCCTGGCACGAGCAGCAATCGCAAGCCGCGTCCGCCTATTCCGCCCGTGAGTCCGCTTCGGCGGCCGACGACTACTATCGCGAGCCCGAGGAGAACGAGCAGGGCGAGCTCGACTTCTCAGACATAAAATCCGTCTGCCTTAACTTTGACGAGGCGCAGCAGCAATCCGAGGAAATGGAGTTTCAACGCGCGCGCCTCGAGACCGTCGACATCGTTCCCCTCGCATCCGGGCCGCGGAATAGATTTATGTCGGCGGCCGCTGTCAGCATGCCCGAACACGTTCTTTTCGCGCTCACGTTTTCCGACTCCCCCGCGCTTCGCCTGCCCGGAGACGAATCCATCAAGAAGCTATTCCCGCTTAGCATGCAGCAGCGCGCGGCGCAGAACAAACCGCAGGGTTTAGCGTACACACACGGTTCCGCTTTCGGCGGAAACGGAGGCACAAAGCGGAATGAGATCTTCCCCAGCTACCTAAGAAGCGACGCAGGTGCCGCCGCCGTATGCGGCATTCCGAGCTACGGCAGCTACGCTTGAGTCGGATCGACCTTGGGACGAACGGTCTCAAGTCGCATCAGCCCCACTGGAACGGTGGTCGTGCGGGGAATGGACGCTCGAGATGCTTTTGGCGGGGCTCGCCACGACAAAGACGGGTCGGCTCAGACTTTGGGCCTTTCTTAACCACCTCACCTGCACGGTTGATATTCCCGTCGCGTGGAAATGTTACTAGTTGCTCGCAATGCAAGGCAAGCCTGGGGACTGTAAGGAGGCGCCGCGTGCCTAATCCAGGTTCGAACTGGAAGAAGAAATGTGTGCAGCGAAGCGGTGGTGAGGGGAAGAATGGGGAAATTTGCGCGTGCTGCGACCCTGATCATGTGCGTCGCGCACCATCTCGTGGTGGATCAATGGTGTAGATGCAGAGCAAATCCGCGCTGCGTTCTCGCTTTGAGCGGTTTCGCTGTACATTGATGTAGGTCAATAAAAGTCTTGTATTTAATATGTTATACCTTTAAAAATCTCTAGTACAATACATTTTATCCCTCATCGTGCTTTTTGAAGCGTTGCACTTGTATTATAATCCGCAAGCTCAATATTCAATCTGTGTGCTTCCAATCCTTGCCTGCGCTCGCGCGACTGCTCGAAACAGCACCATTTATACTTGCAGCAGCAGGATTCCGCGGCTTGAGTTTCCTAGTTAACGCCAATTATCTTTGAAGGGAGGTATCCTGCTGCTCGCGTCGCCATGATAGCCTCGTGTTGCGCCTCGAGCTCTCCACATTTACATTCCGTCGTATCCTGTGGGATTCCTCACATCGAAAATCGCCGATCTGCTCATTGTTTCTCCGTCCCCCAGCGGCCTCGACCTGTCAACTGCACGCCACTGCGCGCCGAGCATGGAGATTCTCTCGCAAGTGCGCAGTCAGCGCTTGGCAGTCGTTTTCCGCGCGCCGCCCTGCACGTGCGGCGCTCGTCCGCGACAAGCGGCGGACGAAGCGCCGCGACCACCGCGTCCGCCGCGTCGCACGATTTCCGCAGACGAGCGAGTTTAACTCCCGGCGCTGTTCCCCCTGAGCGCGCCAGCCCGCCGGACTCCCCCGCTTTTTCCGCCGCTTTAGGAGAATCTCGAGGACCAGCGGAAGATCCGCGGGAAGTGACGTCAGCAGCACGCGATGCGGAAGGGGGGAGAGGGGGCGGTAGTGCGGAGGACGACGGGGGAGGCGGGTGGTTTGAATGGGGGGTGGCGGAAGGGCAAGGGGCAGGGCAAGGGGAAGCACAGGCAGGAGAAGAGGCGGAGGGGGAAGGGTGGGATGCCACGTTTGCCACGTGGCAGTCAGATGAGGGGGAGGGCTGGAAGGATCTGACAGGCGGATGGTCGTCAGACGAAGAAATGACCAAGCGGTTCAGATTGCGGAATGGACGCGAGGTGAGGGGAGGGGGGAAGCGGAAGTGGGAGGGTGGGTGGGAGGTGAGGTTAGGGGGAAAAGGAAGGTGGGTGGTGGTCAGATCAAGAAATGACCAAACGGTTCTGATTGCGGAATGGACGCGAGGTGAGGGGAGGGGGAAGGGGAGGTGGGAGGGTATGATAGGAAAGACGCAACCAGGACGCTGCGTCCTGCGTCGGGACGCAGCGTCCGGACGCTAGGACGCAGGACGCACGTCGAAAAAAAATTCGGGCAGCCCGATTTTTTTTTTCGATCGCGATTTTGACATTCGCGATTTCGGCGCGAATGTCGAAATCGCGAAATTTCGACCCCATAAGCCCGATTCGCCATTGTAAACCAGCCCCCCCCAACATTTCATAACAACTCATGCAAAATGGAAATTCACTCAAACCTCTCTCAACCACTTCACATCTACAAAACCCAACTTTTGTGGCCCACCACCACCAAAGCCCATTTAGCAATGCAACTAGGGAAGATTAATATTAAATTTTGGGGGAAGATTTTGAGGTTGGGATAAAATTTGCATTGAAAAGTGTGGTATGTGACATGTCCCCCCCCCCCCCCCCCTCTCCCAAGCCCTATTCACTTTTTTTTTGCCTGCCCGGGTGTTTTTTTGCCCTGCCCGGGCTTGCGTCTTTTGGTGCGTCTTAGAGGTCCAGGTTTTGCGTCCTGCGTCTGGACGCATTCGTCCAGGACGCAGGACGTGTCTTTCCTATCATAGGTGGGAGGAAGGGAGAAGATTAGGGGATGACGAGAGGTGAGGGGAGGATGCGGATTCCAGGGTCGCATTTTGGAATTTGGGTAGGTTCAGTGCGGTCAGGAGGGGTGGATGAAGAGGTAGGCGGTTGTCACCGCCAGTGATGCCCGTACCTGCGACCCGCACATGTGCAACACAAACATTCCCCCTCCTGCTGTCCCAGCCTCCCCTCCCATCCTCCCATTCCCTCCTCCCTTCCCCCTCCCCCCTCGCCATGCCCCGCTCGCCCTCTCTTCTGGTCAGATTCTCGAGGAGAGAGCTTTCCTGGTGGGAGTCGAGGTCCGGCCCTCTGCACCCACTTCCCCCTCCGCCGCCGCCTCTTCCTCCTCCTCCCCCTCCGCGCCCACACTCTTCCCCATAGAGGAGTCTCTAGCGGAGCTGTCTCAGCTGGTGGAGACGGCCGGGCTGAGGGTCGTTGGCTCTACACATCAAAGGTAAGGCCCTCTGCCCCCCCTTCCCCTCCGCCTCTCCCCCTCCGCCTCTTCCTCCCCCTCCGCGCCCGCGCTCTTCCCCATAGAGGAGTCATTGGCGGAGCTGTCTCAGCTGGTGGAGACGGCCGGGCTCAGGGTTGTTGGCAGCACGCTCCAGAGGTGAGGCCCCCTGCACTCCCCTTCCCCTCTGCATCCCCCTCTTCCTCCCCCTCCCCCTCCCCCTCCGCGCCTACACTCTTCCCCATAGAGGAGTCGCTGGCGGAGCTGTCTCAGCTGGAGATTGCTGGGCTCAAGGTCCCAGGGTAACTCCCCCAATCCGCGCACGTACATTGGATTGGAGCCGGTAAGGTGGAGGAGGTGCGAGCAGCGGTGGCGGGGATGGTTCCAAGGCATTGTGACACCCCTCTTCCCTCCCTCGCCCTTCTTTCCAATCCGACTCCCCCTTTTTAGCCCACCCCATCCCGGCAACTGTCAGGGTAGCATCCCCCAATTCCTGGACGTACATTGAAGCAGGGTTGATGGAGGAGGTGCGAGCAGCGCCACTGCCGTGAAACCAAGCCCACCCTGAGCCCTTCCCCAACTCCTCCCATCCCTGCCTTTCCCAGGGTAGCGTCCCCCAATCCCCTGACGTACATAGGAGCCGGCAGGGTGGAGGAGGTGCGAGCAGCGGTGGCGGGGATGGTTTCAAGGCACCGCCCCCACTCCTCCTGCCTTCCTCTTCCCCTTCCCCTTTTGACGTCTACCAGGGTAGCAAGCCCCAACCCGTGCACGTACATCGGGGCCGGCAAGGTGGAGGAGGTGCGAGCAGCGGTGGCGGGTGTGGGCTAACGCACCGCCTCTCTTCCTCTTTCTTTCTCTTCCCCATTGCTCCCTTCCCCTTTACCCCAGGGTAGCGTCCCCCAACCCACGAACGTACATCGGGGCAGGCAAGGTGAAGGAGGTGCGAGCAGCGTCATTGCCATGATCCCAAGCCCAACCCAATCCACTCTCCCCGCTCTTCCTTGTTCCCCCTTTCCCATCCCCGCCTTTCCCAGGGTAGCAAGCCCCGATCCCCGAACGTACATCGGGGCAGGCAAGGTGGAGGAGGTGCGAGCAGCAGTGGCGGGCATGGGTGTGGAAACGGTGGTGTTTGACGATGAGCTCAGCGCGGGGTGAGTGAAAGTATGTGGGACAAGTGGTAGCAGTTAGCATACGTAAGGTTGACTGTATCTGTGCGAGCAGCAGTGGCGGGCATGGGCGTGGAGACGGTGGTGTTTGACGATGAGCTCAGCGCGGGGTGAGTGGTGGGGAGGGGGGGTGGTTAGAGGAAGACAAGGCTGTGGTGGCTGGCTGCATGTGTTCACTTCTTGTGTGACTGTGTAGAGCGGGCATGGGCGTGGAGACGGTGGTGTTTGACGATGAGCTCAGCGCGGGGTGAGTGGTGGGGAGGGGAGAGTGCTCGCCTACTCACAGATATAGCGTCGACCCGCAGAGATAGAGCGTACACTCACAGAGATGTAGCGTCAAATCACAGAGATAAACTGTTGAATGCACGTGTTCCCAACCCAATGTGGGGGCGATGTGAGGGTGTGCGATTGCACGGCACTCATTTCCTCTCGCCCACGTGGTCTCTCCGCTGCTTATTCCCGCCTGCTCCCCTCCCTTTCCCCGCACACAGACAGCTGCGAAATCTGGAGGAAGAGTTCGGGCGGCGATGTGAGGGTGTGCGGTCGCACTACTGGTCTCTCTTTCCCTTCCTTCCTTCCCCACTTTCCCAACCAACTCCCCACCCTCCCAGTCAGCTGCGCAATCTGGAGAAAGAGTTTGGCGGCGATGTGAGGGTGTGTGATCGCACGGCGCTCATCATTGACATCTTCAGTCAACGCGCCAACACCAAGGAGGCTGCTCTGCAGGTACCCTTGTTCGCACACGTGTGGGAGCATGCAGTCACACTCACCGCACTAATCATTGACATCATCTTCAACGCGACAACACCAAGGAGGCAAATCTGCAGGTGCGCTGCCTGCATTAGCTAGTTGCGTTGCACGTATGGGAGCATGCATTCACACACTCGCCGCTCATCATTGGGTGCAGGTGAGCCCAACGCCCGAGCCCAACGCCCGAGCCCAACGCCCAAGCCCAACGCCCAAGCCCAACGCCCAAACCCAATGCGCCCCCGTTACCACTACGCACCCCTGTTACCATTACGCACCTCCGTTACCGTAACACACCCCCGTTACCATAACGCACCCCCGTTACCATTACACACCCCCATTACCATTACGCACCCCCGTTACCATTACGCACCCCCGTTACCATTACGCACCTCCGTTACCATTACGCACCCCGTTACCATTACGCACCCCCGTTACCATTACGCACCTCCGTTACCATTACGCACCCCTATGTTGAGAAAGACGCGTCCTGCGTCACCAGACGCAGGACACAACACCAGGACCAGAGAGACGCACCAAAAGACGCATGCTCGGGCAGGGCAAAAAAACCTTCGGGCAGGCAAAAGAAATGTTCCTGCCAACAGTTACGACTAGTTACGACCAACATCACACACAACTAAGTTTCAGCGCGAGTCTAGGAGCGATAACATTGGTAAGGTACTCAAATCGTATGGCAGGGGGCGAGCGGGTGATGGGGACGGGAAACCTGGTACGACTGTTTCTAGCAAACAAATCCGCCAGATCCAGTCGACCTAATATCCACATCGACTGGAGGTTGCGTCGAAGTGCGGTGCAAAGCGGTTGTGCTGTTGTAGGTCCACATGCGAAACGATTACAATTGGATACCTATTTTTCCCAACTCTTTTACACCCCTGAACTGCACCAAATCCCATCCACTCTACCTAACCCAACCTCTCCAATCTCTACATCTTGCGACTACGCACCCCTACCTTGACACCAATGTTGTGCATCGAAATCGAGAATCACCATTTCATCGCGCAACCTTTTTCTTCGCGGGCCTGCTGGTAAATACCGTAAGAAAAAATTTCGGGCTGCCCGAAAAAAAAAATTTCGCAGTGCGTCCTGCGTCTGGACGCGCGTCCTGCGTCTGTGCGTCCAGACGCTGCGTCCAGACCCAGGACGCATCGTCCTCCGAGCGTCTTTCTCAACATAGACGCACCCCCGTTACCATTACGCAACCCCGTTACGCACCCCCGTTACCATTACGCACACCCGTTACCATTACGCACCCCCGTTACCATTACGCACCTCCGTTACCATTACCATTACGCACCTCCGTTACCATTACCATTACGCACCTCCGTTACCATTACGCACCTGCGTTACCATTACCATTACGCACCTCCGTTACCATTACCATTACGCACCTCCGTTACCATTACCATTACGCACCTCCGTTACCATTACCATTACGCACCTCCGTTACCATTACGCACCTGCGTTACCATTACGCACCTCTGTTACCATTACGCACCCCCGTTTCCATTACGCACCTCCGTTACCATTACGCAACTCCGTTACCATTACGCAACTCCGTTACCATTACGCACCCCCGTTACCATTACGCACTTCAGTTACCATTACGCACCCCCGTTACTATTACGCACACCCGTTACCATTACGCACCCCCGTTACCATTACGCACCCCCGTTATCTTTACGCACCTCCATTACCATTACGCACCCCCGTTACCATCATGCACCCCCGTTACCATTTTGCACGTTACCATCACGCACCTCTGTTACCATTACGCACCTCCGTTACCATTACACACCTCCGTTACCATTACGCAACCCCGTTACCATTACGCACCCCGTTATCTTTACGCACCCCCGTTACCATTACGCACCCCCGTTACCATTACGCACCCTCGTTACCATTATGCACCCCCGATTCCATTACGCACCCCCGTTACCATTATGCACCCCCGTTACCATTACACACCCCCGTTACCACTACGCACCCCCGTTACCATTACGCACCACCGTTACCATTACGCACCACCGTTACCATTACGCACCTCCGTTACCATTACGCAACTCCGTTACCATTACGCAACTCCGTTACCATTACGCACACCCGTTACCATTACGCACACCCGTTACCATTACGCAACCCCGTTACCATTACGCACCCCCATGACCATTACGCACCCCCGTTACCATTACGCACCTCCGTTACCATTACGCACACCCGTTACCATTACGCACCCCCGTTACCATTACGCACCCCCGTTACCATTACGCATCCCCGTAACCATCACACCCGTTACCATTACGCACTCCCGTTACCATTACGCAACCCCGTTACCATTACGCACCCCCATGACCATTACGCACCCCCGTTACCATTACGCACCTCCGTTACCATTACGCACACCCGTTACCATTACGCACCCCCGTTACCATTACGCACCCCCGTTACCATTACGCATCCCCGTAACCATCACACCCGTTACCATTACGCACTCCCGTTACCATTACGCACCTCAGTTACCATTGCGCACTCCCGTTACCATTACGCAGCTCCGTTACCATTACGCACCACCGTTACCATTACGAACCCCCGTTACCATTATGCACCACCGTTACCATTACGCACCACCGTTACCATTACGCACTCCCGTTAGCATTACGCACCTCCGTTTCCATTGCGCATCCCCGTAACCATCACGCACCTCCGTTACCATTTTGCACGTTACCATTACGCACCTCCGTTACCATTACGCAACCCCGTTACCATTACGCACCCCCATGACCATTACGCACCCCCGTTACCATTTCGCACCTCCGTTACCATTACGCACCTCCGTTACCATTACGCACCACCGTTACCATTACGCACCTCCGTTACCATTTTGCATTCCCGTTACCATTACGCACCTCCGTTACTATTACTCTCCCCCGTTACCATTACGCACCTCCGTTACCATTGCGCACCCCCGTTACCATTACGCACCCCCATTACCATTACGCACCCCCGTTACCATTACGCACCTCCGTTACCATTACGCACCCCCGTTATCTTTACGCACCTCCGTTACCATTACGCACCCCCGTTACCATTACGCACCCCCGTTACCATTATGCACCCCCGTTACCATTACGCACCTCCGTTACCATTACGCACCTTTCCTATTACGCACCTCCGTTACCAGTACGCACCCCCGTTACCATTACGCACCCCCGTTATCTTTACGCACCTCCATTACCATTACGCACCCCCGTTACCATCATGCACCCCCGTTACCATTTTGCACGTTACCATCACGCACCTCTGTTACCATTACGCACCTCCGTTACCATTACACACCTCCGTTACCATTACGCAACCCCGTTACCATTACGCACCCCGTTATCTTTACGCACCCCGTTACCATTACGCACCCTCGTTACCATTATGCACCCCCGATTCCATTACGCACCCCCGTTACCATTATGCACCCCCGTTACCATTACACACCCCCGTTACCACTACGCACCCCCGTTACCATTACGCACCACCGTTACCATTACGCTCCACCGTTACCATTACGCACCTCCGTTACCATTACACACCTTCATTACCATTACGCACCCCCGTTACCATTACGCACCTCCGTTTCCATTGCGCACCCCCGTTACCATTACGCACCTCCGTTACCATCACGCACCAACGTTACCATTACGCACCTCCGTTACCATTACGCACACCCGTTACCATTATGCACTCCCGTTACCATTACGCACCTCAGTTACCATTACGCACTCCCGTTACCATTACGCAGCTCCGTTACCATTACGCACCACCGTTACCATTACGCACCACCGTTACCATTACGCACCTTCGTTACCATTACGAACCCCCGTTACCATTACGCACCCCCGTTACCGTCACGCACCAACGTTACCATTACGCACCACCGTTACCATTACGCACCTTCGTTACCATTACGAACCCCCGTTACCATTTCGCACCCCCGTTACCGTCACGCACCAACGTTACCATTACGCACCTCCGTTACGATTACGCACCCCCGTTACCATTACACCCAAGCCCAACGCCCACGCCCAACGCCCGCCCAACGCCCACAGCCCAAGCCGTGACTGCAGGTGAGCAGGGACTGCAGGTGAGAAGGGACTGCAGGTGTGCAGGGACTGCAGGTGAGCTAGAGTTGCATTTTTAATGAGCTTGCCGTGTTGCACGTGTGGGAGCATGCATTGCACGTGTGGGAGCAAGCATTGCACGTGTGGGAGCATGCATTGCACGTGTGGGAGCAAGCATTGCACGTGTGGGAGCATGCATTGCACGTGTGGGAGCATGCATTGCACGTGTGGGAGCATGCATTGCACGTGTGGGAGCATGCATTGCACGTATGGGAGCATGCATTGCGTGTGGGAGCATGCATTGCGTGTGGGAGCATGCATTGCACGTGTGGGAGCATGCATTGCGTGTGGGAGCATGCATTGCACGTGTGGGAGCATGCATTGCACGTGTGGGAGCATGCATTGCGTGTGGGAGCATGCATTGCACGTGTGGGAGCATGCATTGCGTGTGGGAGCATGCATTGCACGTGTGGGAGCATGCATTGCACGTGTGGGAGCATGCATTGCACGTGTGGGAGCATGCATTGCGTGTGGGAGCATGCATTGCACGTGTGGGAGCATGCATTGCACGTGTGGGAGCATGCATTGCACGTGTGGGAGCATGCATTGCGTGTGGGAGCATGCATTGCACGTGTGGGAGCATGCATTGCACGTGTGGGAGCATGCATTGCATGTGTGGGAGCATGCATTGCACGTGTGGGAGCATGCATTGCATGTGTGGGAGCATGCATTGCATGTGTGGGAGCATGCATTGCATGTGTGGGAGCATGCATTGCATGTGTGGGAGCATGCATTGCATGTGTGGGAGCATGCATTGCATGTGTGGGAGCATGCATTGCATGTGTGGGAGCATGCATTGCATGTGTGGGAGCATGCATTGCATGTGTGGGAGCATGCATTGCATGTGTGGGAGCATGCATTGCATGTGTGGGAGCATGCATTGCATGTGTGGGAGCATGCATTGCATGTGTGGGAGCATGCATTGCATGTGTGGGAGCATGCATTGCATGTGTGGGAGCATGCATTGCATGTGTGGGAGCATGCATTGCACGTGTGGGAGCATGCATTCACACACTCGCCGCCGCTAATCACTGACATCGTTTGTCAGCGAGCCAACACCAAGGAGGCTGAGGCTGCCTCCTGCACATAGTGCAACCCCTTCCCCCGCTTCCGCCTCTCTCCCCAACAGCTGCAGTTAGCTTAGGTGGAGTGGCTGCTTTGAAAAGTCTCAAAAGTCGCCTCCCTCCCCAACAGGTGCAGTTAGCCCAGGTGGGCAGCTCCCGCTTCCCACTCCTTCCTCTTCTCTGTCTCTCCCACTACTCTCTCTTCTCTTCCCAGCCACTCCCACCAGGTGCAGCTGGCTCAACTTGAGTACCAGCTGCCGCCTCACGCGCATGTGGACGCATCTGGAGGGATGCTTGAGCTGACACATGCTCGCAACCGCCCTCTCCCACTGCCCTCTCCCACTGCCCTCTCCCACTGCCCTCTCCCACTGCCGTCTCATCTGCCACCAAAGCCCTCTTTCTGCTGTGTGTTTATCTCCAACCTGTCCCCCCCCCATTTCAACCTTCTCCTCAACTCCTCCTCACCAGGTGCAACTAGCTCAACTTGAGTATCAACTGCCACGCCTGACCCGCATGTGGACGCATCTGGAGCGGCAGGCAGGCGGTATGGTGAAGGGCATGGGGGAAAAGCAGATTGAGGTGGATAAACGGATCATCAGAGAGCGGGTGAGTGAGACAAGGGAGAGAGGTGGGGATAGGGGTTGATGAGAGTACTTGTGAGGCCATTTACAAGGCAGGCAGGCAGGCGGTATGGTGAAGGGCATGGTGAAGGGCATGGGGGAGAAGCAGATTGAGGTGGACAAACGAATCATCCGAGAGCGGGTGAGATGAGGGAGAGGGGGGGAAGGGGGAGGGAGGGATTGGGAAGAGGTCACCTTGAGTGGAAGTTGTGGGCAGGCGGCATGGTGAAGGGCATGGTGAAGGGCATGGTGAAGGGCATGGTGGAGAAGCAGATTGCAGTGGATAAACGAATCATCAGAGAACGGGTGAGATGTGGGCGAGGTGGGGGGAGAAGGAAGAGCAAGGGGAGAAGGGGGAGAGGAAGAGCAAGGGGGGAAGGGGGAGAAGGGGGAGGAGGTGCGCGGAGGGAGGATTGAAAAAGGGTTACCTTTGATTTAATTTACAGAGCAGCCGGCATGGTGAAGCAGATGGAGGTGAACAAGTGCAGTGCAGTGCACGATGAGTGAATGGCATGGGGGAGCACTGATCCTTTCATTCGTCACTATGCCTCATCCTCTCATCAGTGCACTGATGGGTATAGCATTGACAGCATCGTCACCTCTCCCCCACCCTTTTCCTCTATTCTCTCTCCTTCCCCATCCCACGAGATGGCGGCTCTAAGTCGCAGCCTCACATCAGTGCGCGAGCACCAGCAGCAGCACAGGGACCGGCGGGCAGGCCTGCCCATCCCCTCCAAATCCGCTACAATTCCTCTCACCCTCCTTCCCCCTCTCCCAGATGGCAGCTCTACGGCGCAGCCTCTCATCAGTGAGGGAGCACAGGCAGCAGCACAGGGACTGGCGGGCAGGCCTGCCCATCCCCTCCAATTTCTTTCCAATTCCTCTCCCCCTACTTCCTTCCCCCAGATGGCAGCACTGAGGCGCAGTCTCACATCAGTGCGCGAGCACCGGCAGCAGCACAGGGACCGGCGGGCAGGCCTGCCCATCCCGGTGCTGTCACTGGTGGGATACACCAACGCGGGCAAGAGCACGCTTCTCAATCGGCTGACTGGGGCCGGTGTCCTGGCTGAAGACAAGCTGTTCGCCACTCTGGATCCAACAACCCGCAGAACACAGGTGGGTGTGTGTGATGCTGGCTGGCCCTAGAGGAGGCCTCGTCTGCTTACGCAACCGTCACTAGTGGGATACACCAATGCGGGCAAGAGCACTCTGCTCAACCGCCTCACAGGGGCGGGTGTGTTGGCTGAAGACAAGCTGTTTGCTACGATGGATCCAGCCACTCGCAGAACACAGGTGGGTTGGTTGTTGTATACACCACTTCCCCACCCACACACACAGGCCGCCCATCCCATTCCGGTGCTGTCACTGGTGGGATACACCAACGCGGGCAAGAGCACTCTTTTGAATCGCCTCACAGGGGCCGGCGTGTTGGCTGAAGACAAGCTGTTTGCCACTCTCGACCCCACCACTCACAGAACACAGGTGGGTTGGGTGCGGCACACACCCCCACACACTCGCACACACAGGCCTGCCCATCCAGGTGGTGTCACTGGTGGGACCCACACACTGCACCGCACGCCCATACGCTGCACCGCGCGCCCATACGCTGCATCGCGCGCCCATACGCTGCACCGCACGCCCATACGCTGCACCGCACGCCCATACGCTGCACCGCACGCCCATACGCTGCACCAACGCGGGCACGAGCATCCTGCTCATCCGGCTTACAGGGGCAGGCTTGCGGCTTACAGGGGCAGGCGTGCGGACACATTGGGGCTGATTCAGAAGCTGCTGGTTTCGCTCTCTCTTGACTCCCTTTTCCTCTCTCCCTCCCCCTCTCTACCTTCACCCCCCTCCAGCTACCCAACGGCAAGGAGTGACTGTTGACGGACACAGTGGGGTTCATTCAACTCCCCCTCAGCTCCCTCTCTCCTCGTTTCAGCTCATATTCCCTCTTCACTTCACACCCCTTCCCCTCCGTCCCCCAGCTACCCAACGGCAAGGAGTGTCTGTTGACGGACACAGTGGGGTTCAGAGGGCGTTCCTGGCAATGGCCTGGACATTAGCCGCTCCAATGACGTGTAAAGTAGCTTTGTGCCGTTGGCAACAGGTGTACATCTGCAGCCGCGCACCAATGAATTTCGTGCGCGAACAAATGTCTGCGACCTGTTCGACGTTGAACAAGCCAGGAAAAGCACCCTCGAAAATATTCCTTGCTGAATCGACAACCGTTGCACGCATGGGGTATGCAGTGCCAAATTCACTACCAACACAAACACCCGCTACTTCAATGCAACCATCCCTGTGGTTTTTTATTTTTCCTGTGCCCCAAATGGTTTTTGCCCTCATTCTGGTGTTTACAACAGCGCCATTACAGTTGCACGCTGCGTCAACTACACTACTGAACATCAGTTGTGCGAAAACGTCGCACGGCCCGTTGGTGGGCTACCTCGTTGAAGGCACGTGGCCCCAACCCTCAGATGTCCAGACGTTTGGCGTTTGGCCATCCCCAGGACTGCCATCTCATTCAACTACCATGTCCCGACCCCTTTCCCCTCGTTTCAGTCTGTTACCCACTCTTCCCGCTCTCGTCTCTCCGTCCCCCAGCTACCCAACGGCAAGGAGTGTCTATTGACGGACACAGTGGGGTTTACTCAGAAGCTGCCCACACAGCTGGTGAGCGCCCATTGACCCGCAAACATGTGAACTAGGGATTATAAGCTTTCAGTCGTCCCCACCTACCTCTTATTCTTCACCACCTTCACATCCCTTCATCACTCTTCACCGTTCTGCACCCCGCTTGAGTGCTCTCTCTAAAACGTCTTCATTTGCAATGCATACCCCCCTTTCCTGTCTCTGAACCAACCAATGGGGTTGCGCCAGGTGGCAGCGTTCAGAGCCACGCTTGAGGAGATCACCGAGGCGTCGGTGCTGCTGCATGTGGTGGACGTCAGGTGAGCTGTCGGGTGGGCTCTCAGGTGAAATGTCAGGTGAGCTGTCAGGTGGGCTCTCAGGTGAAATGTCAGGTGAGCTGTCAGGTGGGCTTTCAGGTGGGCTGTCAGGTGAGCTGTCAGGTGAGCTGACAGGTGAGCTGTCAGGTGAGCTGACAGGTGAGCTGTCAGGTGAGCTGTCAGGTGAGCTGTCAGGTGAGCTGTCAGGTGAACTGACAGGTGAGCTGTCAGGCGAGCCGTCAGGTGAACTACTCATTTGCTCTCCTTTCATTCGTCTCCGCCCATCCTGCCATACTTACTCCTCCACCTCTCCTGCCCTCCTCTTCCCCCCATTGAGCAGCCATCCAATGGCGGCGCAACAGGTGGCGGCGGTGCTGCAAGTGCTGGCTGAGCTGGACGTCTCCCACATCCCCATGCTCACCGTCCTCAATAAGGTCTGCCTCTCTATATTCCATAAGGCCTGCCTCGTTGACTCAATAAGGTCTCTCGCTCACCGTCCTCAATAAGGTCTGCCCCACTACACTGTATGGATTCTCCTAGGTTCACCTTAAGGGTCTCTCCGCACTTCCTTCCCCCTCTACGCGCACAACAACCGTTTAATACCTCGTCTCCAACTCTAGAAAGTATTGGGATGTCTCAACGCACTTCACCACATCTGGCTTGAAAGCTACACATGGGGCAAACACACATTAGGCAAACACACATCCACACCACAGCATGACGCCAGCAGTGCCTCATCTCTCATTCCTCATCCCTTCTTTCTCATCTCTCATGTCCCATCCCTCATCCCCCACTTCTCATCCATCATCCCTCATCCCTCATATCTCATCCCTTCTTTCTCATCTCTCATCTTCCCACAACCACTTCCAGGTAGACCAAGTGTCCCCTGATTGGCTGCAGCAGCAGCAGCGCCAGCTGGAAGCTATCTTGGATCAAAATCCGGGCGGCAGAGCGAGCACTGCGGGCGGCAGAGATGGCGGTGGGAGAGCGGGTGGGCGGCACAGGATGGTGGCTGTGTCGGCAGTGACAGGCGAGGGCATGGATGGGCTGTTTCACGAGCTGGAAATGATGGTCAACGTGAGTCAATGCTGGTCAACGTGAGTCAATGCTGGTCAACGTGAGTCAATGCTGGTCAACGTGACTCAATGCTGGTCAGCGTGAGTCAATTCTGGTGAGCATCGACGCCATCATCCCGTACCAGGAGGGGCATCTGAGAGTGGACTCAAACGACATGCGTGCATGAGGACAAACATGTCCTCCTGTGAATGCCCGTGCCATCCCGTGTGTGCCTCTCCCAGGGTCTGCTGGTGAGCATCGACGCCATCATCCCGTACCAGGAGGGGCATCTGCTGGGGCTCGTGTACCAGCTGGGCGCCGTGGATAGAGAGGTGAGAGGGGTGTTGAGATGGGTTGAGAGCGGTTGAAAGGGGTATGAGGAGTGGGAAGAAGGAATACTGATAGGATCAAGAGGAGACACGGAGACGCCGGCATCTGCTGGGGCTCGTGTATCTGCTGTGCGCTGTTGATAGAGAGGTGAGAGGGATTGAGAGGGGTTGAGTGAGAGGAGGGGTGAGAGGAGGGGGTAGAGTGGTTAGGACAACATGGGGTGGTGTGCAGAGACGGATGGGGGAAATGGGAGCTATAGTGAGATGGGGAGGGAAGAGAGCCGGAGGGTCACACAGAATCTCCTTATTGCCCGTTGCTGGCAGAGCAGCAATGCACTTTCGAGACGTCTCAAAAGGCAGAGCAGCAATGCACTTTCGAGACGTCTCAAAAGGCAGAGCAGCAATGCACTTTCGAGACGTCTCAAAAGGCAGAGCAGCAATGCACATGTGCCAGATTCTGGCAAGCAGAATCTCCCTTTCTCATCTTCTCGTCTACCACTCCATCTGTTGCTGAAGGGCATGTTGCTGTCGGCACATGTGCCTCTGTATCTGGCATGAAAGGGTTGCCCCCTGGCATGAAAGGGTTGCCCCCCTGGCATGAAAGGGTTGCCCCCCTGGCATGAAAAGGTTGCCCCCCTGGCATGAAAGGGTTGCCCCCCTGGCATGAAAGGGTTGCCCCCCTGGCATGAAAGGGTTGCCCCCCTGGCATGAAAGTTTGTTTATCACGCAGGTGGTTCAGCTGCTGTTCTGCCTCTTCATCTCTCCCCTTTCCCACCTCTTTTCTCCCCCCTTTCCCGTCCTTCGCCCGCACAGGAGCATCTTCCTGAAGGCACGTTACTGTCAGCACATGTGCCGCTGCGGGTGGCTCAGCTGCTGCTGCCGTACCGCTGGACTGCAGAGGAGTTGAAGACACGAAAAGGCCCTGCAGCTTAAAATGTTTATTATTGCTTGCTCACGTGGAACTACACTACACCCATTGTACAGACGAGTGTAGTTGTGAAATCACTGTATACAGTAACCTATGGGAAGAAAAGAAAGTACCATATGTGATACCATTGCTGATGTATTTGCTGTGAATCTTGACAATCTCCACACACATGGGCTGCGCACAGGCCAGTAATCGAGTTTTGAGACGTCTCAAAACTCCATTGCTGGTGTGTTTGCTGTAAATCTTGACAATCTCCACACACTGGGGCTGCGCACGCAGGCGCGGCTCAATAAGGTTCTGCAGAAGTAGCCATGTGGCTGGCATGCGATGTGTTTGCTGTGAATCTTGACAATAGCCACACACTTGGGATGCGCGCGCAGGCCCTCATGCTCCAGCGGGTGGGAGGCAGGAGAGAGGAGGGGAGATAGTCAATCAGTCTCTTGAATCGGACTGCCTCGAAGCGCGCATTAGAGGTGCTGGAGGTATGCAGAGGCTCACCTGGTGGTACAGGAGAACAAGGGCAGAGAGCAGAACACAACAAGGGTCAAGTGGTGGTACAGGAGCAAATAACAAGGGCAGAGAGAAGAAAAGGGCAGAGAGAAGAAAAGGGCAGAGAGAAGAAAAGGGCAGAGAGAAGAAAAGGGCAGCTGCAGGTTGAAGACAAGGAAAGGAGCAAGGATGAAGCTGCAGTGGATGGCAGAAGTGACTATATGAGGAGTTGAGATTTGAGGAGATGAGATATGAGGAGTTGAGATATGAGGAGTTGAGATATGAGGAGTTGAGATGTGGGAGATAAGATATGGGACATGAGACATGGGGATGTGAGATACGGGGACACGAGATGCAGCAGCTGGTGGCGTGCAGCATCACTCAGCACTGAGAGGGCCATCCGCGCCACGGCCTCAGCCTGGGCCTCGTGCTGCCATGAAACACGGGGAGATAAAAGTTATGGAAATGTGTGATATACAGGCAAGGTAGTCGAGAAGAGAGGTAAAGGGCAAAGGGAGGAACGCAGGACGCAGGCCGTGAGATAGGAGGGGGCAAAGGACAGAACGCGGGACGTGTGGAGAGGCAATCAGATAATGAGAAAAGACATGTTTGCCGACCACGTGTGCGACACATTCGCCAGGCTACCCATCAACAGCGTCGCAGCGGATCGCACGGACGCCATGCTGTCCCGCGCGAGCGGCAGATGCAGCGCGCCGAGCGACAGCAGAGCCTCCGCGTTCTGCGGAGGAAGAAACGCGGCCGAATCGCGTTCCGTTTCGATTTAACTACCTCGTTAAAAGAGCCGAGAGTCATCAGAGACCCTTAGGATGCAAAAATACTGGGTTCGCAGGAGTCAATGACATGCTACGGGGTTCGCGGGAGCTTGCTCGCGCTGGCGAGCTGGCGAATCGCAATAAAATGATCCAACGACTCTCGGAGGCGGGATGCGTCAGGAACCTCTCTCAGTAGCGGCATGAATTCGAAGATCGAAGCTTCGAGGCTGAGAGAAGCAAAGATTAGACAGCGTAACGGACTGAGACTAAGGCGCACCTGAGGCGCGACCGCGAGTTCACCGCGAGTACACCTGAGGCTTTCCTGAGAAACTGCACGCGCGCGTCGCGGTACGCCTCCATTACCGCCACCACGGCTCGATCCGCTTTGGTACGTCCCATTACGATATTAATCATGAGATCATGAGAATAGTTGCTGCTGAAGACGCGAGGCATGGAGTTAGGACTCCATAACTACGAAAAGCGTAACTCTCATGTCCTAGCCATAGCTTTCACCTATTATGTTTCACGACCGAACTCTGTCCAAGGTACGAAAGTAGTTAACAGTACAGGTCATTGAAAAGTACAGAGAGTATTTCATACTAAGCTTTATATAGAGAGAGAGTTACAAGTCAGAACCGAGAGTTAATCCTAAGCTTCTAAACAGCTTCACTTGAGCCTCCACAACAGCGCCCCGACTTCAGAGAAGGTTGGCCGTTTTCTCATCTTCTTTAATTTCTTGCCTTCTTGTCTTCTTATCAGCTTGAAAGTCTTCTTGACCCCTCTTGGCCGTCAGAGGCAAAAGCCCCTGACGTTACACCCATGCACCACGATGAGGTGAGGGTCATTCGCGTGGGGCCTGCTTGGGGGGGGGGGGGGGGGCGGGGGAGGAGGGGAGGGAAATGCTTGGGAGGGGGGGAAACGGTTAAAAATTAGTGGCGGGCAGATGAAAATAAACACTTCGAAATTGACAATAGGTTCCCCGTTGTCAGAATGTTGTCAGAATGACGGCCAGCCGTCAAGAGGACGGCCAGCCGTCAAGAGGCATACCTGAACACACCTGAACCCATACCATCGCCCGTCTGTGTCTGTGTGCCTAATCGAGCCTAGGCTAACGCGCTCCTACTCGTCCTGTACCCACTAGCACCCTCTTACAAGCCCGGCGTTTGCGCTGGTTGCTCCCGCTCCCGCCAAATTTGCTCTGCAGGAAAGGGCGGTACGGGAGGGGAAGTCAAACTCCTCCAAGCTCGCGCCTTGCTCCTCGCTCCGACTCTTGACTCCACGTGTGTGAAGCCTCCCTCGAGACTCCTGCACCACAGACGACAAAAAAAGGGAATTAGATATTTTGAAAACGAAACGGCAGAGAGCAGCGCAAAAGGCGACGAGCAGAAAGGCGACGAGCGGAAAGGCGACGAGCAGAAAGGCGACGAGCGGAAATTTGACGACAGAGCACCCCAGCAGAGAGAAGCGCCGCCACGCATCGTGCGCCGCGGTGCGACGTGCTCTCTGATGCCCCGCGTGCTCCGATGCCCCGCCGCGCGAGCGTAAGACGTCCCCGAAGAAGCGTCGCCACGCGGCCCGCGAGCTCCCATCCCCGCTTCGCCTGCGCTAAAGAAGAACGCACACAAAAATAAGTTAGTTTCATAATCAAAGAATAAACGTAACGAAATCCGACGGCACTTACCATGCAAGGGAGACCACCTCCCCGCGTTACCTCCTAGCTTGCCGCTGGCTCCCGCGTTTGCTCCTGCTCCCGCTCTCGCTGCTCCTGCGCTTACGGAGAGCACACGAAAATAGAAGTTCGAATCTGGAAATATTAAAGAGAAGAACTGAAACTGAAACTTACCAAGAAAGAGGGGTCTTCGTAGCTTGCCGTTGCTCCCGCTCCCGCTGCTCCTGCGCTGAAGAAAGCACACAACAAAAGAAGTAAGAATCGGGAAAAGATAAAGAAAAGAACGAGAACTGAAACTCACCAAGAATGAGAAGTCCTCGTAGCTTGACCTCCCGTCGCCGCCAGCGCCGCTGCTCCCGCTCCCGCTGCTCCTGCGCTGAAGAAAGCACACGACAAAAGAAGTAAGAATCGGGAAGATAAAGAAAAGAACTGGAACTGAAACTCACCAAGAATGAGAAGTCCTCGTAGCTTGACCTTCCGTCGCCGCCAGCGCCGCTGCTCCCGCTCCCGTTGCTCCTGCGCTGAAGAAAGCACACAACAAAAGAAGTAAGAATCGGGAAAAGATAAACAAAAGAACTGGAACTGAAACTCACCAAGAATGAGAAGTCCTCGTAGCTTGACCTCCCGTCGCCGCCAGCGCCGTTGCTCCCCTCCCGCTCCTGCTGGCTGCACTAAGACGAAGCACAAGAAAAGAAGTTAGACTCTGGGAGAAAACGAAAGCAGAAAACTGGAAGTGATCCTTACCACGTTGACTTTGCCGCCAAGCGCAGAGAGCATCGTGAGTCCCGCCGTAAGACACGCCTCTCGCCGCGAGACACGTCGTGAGTCCCGCCGTGAGACACGCCTCTCGCCCGCGAGACACGTCGTGCGACCGCCGAAGCGTCCCGTGCCTCGCGCCACGCGTCCCCACGCATCGTCATCCGTCCTCGCCACCCGTACGCCGGCCGACGGTCAGCTTCTGCAAGTCGTTGAAAAGGAAAAGGAGAATTAGAAACGAAACTGTGGAGAAGGACAACACACTTAAAAGAATCTGCTGAAAATGTCCTCACACGCTACCTCAGCTTGGGTGAAGAGATCCGCGCGACAGACGAAGTGCCGCCAGCCGTTGCCGTCCGCTTGCGTCGTTGCTGACGGTAGAGGCCTCGTCGTTGACGGTAGAGGCCTCGTCGCGGTAAAGGCCTGGTCGCCGACGGTAGAGCGACGAAAATACCACCAAGCGACGGCAGGGAGAAGCGTCGCCAGCGCCGTGAGTGCCGCCATGCGTGCCAGCGCTGTGAGTGCCAGCGCCGTGAGTGCCAAAGAACCGTCGCCATGCGTCGCCGTGTGTCGTGCGCGTCAGGTTCTGCAGGAAAGCGAGTCAACGCGTTAGAATGTAGGCAAATCGAAAATAAAACTGAAGTGTTGAGAACGGATCGCTCTGCACATTACCTCAGCTCGAGCGAGGCCGTCACCGTCCCCTCGCGACGTGAGACAGTAGAGTCCTCATCGCCATCCGTATGTGCGTTCACGCGACCAACACGGTCGCCGTCTTCAGTCGCCAAGACGGTCGCCATGACGGTCGCCAAGACGGTCGCCAAGACGGTCGCCAAGACGGTCGCCAAGACGGTCGCCAAGACGGTCGCCAAGATGGTCGCCAAGATGGTCGCCAAGACTGTCGCCGGGATCTGCAGGGACAAGGCAGCACGTTAGTACTTCACTCACGGGTAGACTTGTAAAGAGAAAGGCGGCACAACGGGTAGACTTCACTCACCCCAACTTGAACCAGAGTTTGCGAACGCATCTCGGCGCATCGTGGCGAGGTCGAGATCGAGGCGCCGTCGCCGTCGCATCTCCCGCGATTGACGCATCACTTCTGGTCCTCCGCGATTGAGCGTCGCATCGCATCAGAATTTTCAAGTCTTCGCGTAGGCCGTTTTTGGTCTGCAGGGAAAAGGCAGCAGGAAAAAGAAAAAGGTATGCTGTGTTTCGTCAGCTGAGAAGACGGTATGCTGAGAAGACGAAAAGAAAACGGATACCTGAATTTCGTCAGCTGAGAAGACGAAGGAATTCTAGGCAAGCCGATCTGCACTTACCCCAAGCCGATCTGCAATTCTAGGATCCGTTGGCGATCTGCACCCGAGAGGCTTCGCGACTCGCATCCGGCCCTGAGTGACGGTGATCAGCCGCCACTCGCATTCACTCGGAGATGGTGACAATCGGCGTTCATCACTTGGTGACGAGTGCGTCTACTCGTCAGCCTTCGTGTTGGAAGATATCGCCGGTCCGGAGCTTGAGGCATTCTGCGATTGAAGTGCAACCTGCGTATGAAGCGCCTTCCCGACTTAGGCTTCAGGTCCGACTTGAAGCAAAGGTCGCCACGAGGTCTGCGGGAAGAAAGCAACGGGTTAGTACAATGCTAAAAAGCTTAAGAACTTAACTGGACAAACGCTGGAAAGTTGAAAAACGCTGCACTTACCTCAGGTCTTAACGACGCTTCAGGTCTTAACGACGGCGCTTAACGACGGCGATCGTTGATGCGTCATCGCTTTCAAGTGGCCATCTTTGGACGGTCGCCGAGACCTGAAAACGAAGAGGCAACAGATCAATACTGAAGGTACTGAAAGGGAAAGGTAAACTTAGAGATGCTAACGTTCACGGTTCACGCTCCCCAATTTGGCCGACCTGTCCGCCGTTGGCAACGGCATTTAAACGCGCCGTTAGCAAGTCCGCGACTATCATGCTTGAGCGCGCCTATTGGCGATCTTGACTTTCGGTTGGGCTTCAGACAGCTTGATTCAGGGGTCGATAACTTCAGGTCCGTAGAAGCTTGAGCTTGCCGTCTGCAGGAAATGAAGGAACGCGTTAGAAGATTTCTCAGAAGCGACGGAAAGAAGTTGAACGCAACAAAACAATGAAGAAGTTGAAAAGAAATTACCGTCTCCTTCTAGGAATAGTAGCAGCGACAGGGGAAGGTCACAGCCGTCTCCTTCTAGGGATAGTAGCAGCATCTTAGACCCTTTGAAGCATTTGAAGCCGAGACGAGCTTGGAGCGGAGTTCTCGTTGCGATATCCTTGGCGTGAAGATGATCCCGGCTGCTTCGGCGGTCGTGGCTGCGTCGACGATCTTGAATCGCTCTCAAGACGGCGCTTCAAACTTGACATCAAGGACTTGGGTTTCAAACTTCAGGTCCCGTTCGTAGAAGCTTGAGCTTGACGTCTGCAGGAAAACAAGGATCGCGTTAAAGGTATTCTCAGAAGCACGTCAAACGGCGGATAACTAACGATTCAGAACGTAACAAAACAATGACGAAGTTGACGAGAAAGTACCGTCTCACCGTTGAATCAGCTTCGTAAACCCGTTGAATAAATTTGAAGCTGAAGCGAGACGAGCTGAAGTGCGACCAGAAACGGATAAGGAGGTCGTCTGCAGAAAAACTAAGAGCGAGTTAAAAGGTGAAAAGAATTAAAAAGAAGTCGAATTAATTTGAGCGAATCTGGGAAACAAAGAAATTGATTTGATTTGAGCGAATCTGGGATTTGGGAGTCCTTACCTCCACTCGACAGTCTTCGTGTTGGAAGACTTCGCAGGTCGAGCTTGAACTTATCGGATCTTCACACCGAAGATATCGCCGGTTTGGAGCTTGATGAATCCCGCAATCGATGTGCAACCCGCGTTTGAAGCGCCTTCCCGACTGAGGCTTCAGGTCCGGAGCTTGAAGCATCCCGCCATTGAAGTGCAACCCGCGTTTGAAGCGTCTTCCCACTCGACCGTCTCCGTGTTGGTGACGGGGAAGAGACCGCAGCGGCTTCCCTTGGAGGCAGCGACGGGGTTGGCCGCGAAGCTCTCTTCGCCGAACTGTAGATCTTAACGGCGACACTTCATGTCTCGTCAAGACGGTCGCCACGAGGTCTGCGGGAAGAAAGCAACATGTTAGTACCTGAACAATGTTAAAAAGCTTAACAACTTAACTGGCCAAAAACGATTACAGGAAAGAAGTCGAAAAACTTTGCACTTACCCCACTCGACCGGTGAAGACCGCCGGGGAGCGACAGGGAAGGCCGACATGGTCTTTGCGTTTGCGAGACTTGTCTTCCCGCAACAGCGACGGGGGAAGGTCGGCAACAGCTTTTTGAAGCTGAAGCATTTGAAGCTGAATCTCTGGCCGAGACGAACTTGGAGCGGATACCCCGTTGCGATATTTTCGCCGTAGAAATCCTTGGCGTGGAGATATTGCAGAGATGATCCTGGCTGCGTCGGCGCTCTGATTTGCCGGGAAGATCGCTCCGTAAAATTCTCGCCGTGGAAAATTCGTGGCGAGAAGATCTCTAAGAGAAGATTCGCGAAGACTCGCCATGTAAATCTTGCGGATCATAAATTATTCGCAGTGAAAATGTTGCCGCGAAAGGTTTTCGTACACGGTTCAGCCCAAGGCACTTAGCGGCTCGCTCCTCACAGGACTCTACCCACCCACCCCTACCCCGACCTCTATTCTAACTCAACGCCGCTTTATGCCATGGGCTTATCCGTGTACTAGTAACCGGGTGGCTTCAGGTAGCACAGTTTGCTCCGTGGAGCTTCTAGCATGAAGTCTACGCTCATTAGGTTGGAGCTTTCGAAGAATCATTCCGTTTGTGAGTTTGAGAAGGACGAAAATGGACAACAAGGACACAACTTCCAGAGTTATGCTCAGAAAGGTAGCGGAGGTAGTTGCTGAAACAGAAGAGAGTGCTCCTGATGAGTGGCCGAATGAATTCAAGTCAGCAATTCAGCCGCCACGGCGCGCCGTACGGCAGCTTCAAAGTTCAAACCATATGTGAAATGTGATGGGTCGCTGTATCTGAGTAATTGAAGGTTACCCTAGGTGCAGTACGGTCGGACGGGGTGCCACAATCTCGCTCTGCCAGAGTGGAGGGAATTACTGACACCACGCTGGGTGCGCGGTGCGAAGGAAAACCGAGTGTGTTGTGAATGGGTGGATGGTGGTGGTGTAACCACCCTCAACGGTGACGATTACATTTGGCTGGGATGGAGGCGTGGTGGCGGCTATTGCCATTGGCCAATGAATCGCCCCGCCGACTAAGCGGCAAAGGACATTTCCCGAGAGCGCGTGGTGAACATGTTGAGGCAGGTCAAAATGTGTCCCCACCTCCTTATCCATCCAACCCAAACCATGCGGTGCATTCATCGTACTATACAGAGTTGGGTTAAATTTGAATATTGGTTGGAATTGTCAGTTTACAAACGAATATGCTAAGGGCGCGTATCACTGCTGGGGGGTTTGTTGGATGTGCTGGTTTGCAAGGGCAGGCTCGAACTTTCTAGGAGGTGGTTGACGTGGCGCTATTTTTTGGGCCAACATCATAGACATGCAAATTAGTCTGGTAACCCTATTCGATGGTATGCAAAACCGTCGATACCCCAGTTCTGCTGCGCAAAATTGTCTGGTAGCGCCACTCAAAACACTGTGTAACAGCTGACGCAGCACAGAAAAGGAAGAAAATATGGGATTGAATCAGTTGCGTTTTCGATTTCGTATCGTCGTGGTTCTTACCGCGTCTTGTTCGGCGCCTAACAAATATTCCTGCCGGCTACTATTTTCCGCTAAATGTGACGAAAAATCCACTGGAATGAAAGGCTACGGGGTCCATTTCGATAACATTAATTTGGACCAATATATTGCTACCGGGAAATGTAGGGGCAGGGCAGAAAAACAATAAAACCCCTAGGGACCTGGACGCATTTTAGGACATTGAACACGGGAAAGGACATTGTTTTTAGGGTTGATGCCTCCCTGACGCATCCCTTTCCGATCGGGTTTTATTTTTTTCTTGGCCCGAAGAAATCACGTCTTAGCGCGAAGGCAAGCGCGGTAAAGATCAAATTTGAATTAAAAACGAACGTGCTTTCAGGGCAGCATGTCAATAACTTGCAAACAGAGGTAAGACGGTTTTGCATACCATTGGATAGGGTTACCACACTAATTTGCATTTCTATGATGTTGGCCCCTATTTTTTAGTTGGGTCAGCATAAGTGAGTGTTTTTAGTCTCGGCGTGAGTTGCGGGACGGCTTTGGTCGTTGGGGGTGATCGTCAGTGGCGTTGTGACTCGCTTTCATCCTTACTCGGGCAGCTGGGAAAACAACGGGTGGATGGAGAGATTTGCGTCAACCAATGGGAATGATTTGTGTTTTTGACACCCTGGCACAACCACCTTGGCAGTATCAACATCCCGAACCTTGATTTTCCGAATCCTTCTCAGCTGCCACTTGGCAGTATCGAGGGTCTGACTTACATTACCTTGCACTAGATGTTCGGTAGTAGTTTTGCTATGTCA